TCCCCTCTCAAATTGCCTATTAATCAAGAGAATCTCGGTTATTTCTGACTGAAAATTTCCCTGATTTTTCTCTAGATCCCAAGCAAAAAACAGAGATATTTTGAATAAAAATTGCTTACGTACATTTATGTATCATGAGTTAATTGTTTGAGTCAATCTGGCAACCTTGGAGTGGAGTTACGTTCCTTCGTGCCGGAGACGACGAATTGGACGTATCCCTGCCGAACGGAACTACGTGCATTATGACGTGAGCCCTGTCGTGCATATATGCATATGGGTCTCAGGGCTCATGTCTTAATGCACTTAGTTCCGTTTGGTAGAAATACCCCCAATTAAACTCAAACGTTTGTCAGATATTGATGGCTCCTCATTACGTCGTTCCTTTGATTTAAGGACGTAACTCTACTTTGACACGACCTCCATTGTCCATTTAACTACAGGCTTTTCTATACTCGAGTGGAAATGGAGTTGTGCTTTTACATCAGAGGAATGATGATTGAGCGGATCCCCCTCTTATCCGATCTTCAACGGGTCCTTGTTAGGCAAAAACGCCGTTAGATACTTAGGTTGGATCAGCCGGTTGCAGGGTCGTTGTTTAAGGCGGATTTTTCACTTCCAGTTCCGTATATCTCCACCACATCGATCCATCGTAGATTTTAGGCCATTAAGAGAATTTTTTTATTTTTTTCTAATCATCGTCAGTTCAAAGACACTAATATATGGTCTTACAAAAATTTAACTTTTAAAACTCTTAAAAGAAAAGAAAAAAAAGTTTTAAAGTGCTGTTTCCAATTTTTGACCGATTTTAATGTATGATTAATGTAAGAGGATAATAGCCAAGGTGTTATGTATGATTTTAATGTATTGATATTGTATCTACCTTCAGATTGATTTAGGCACCCGAAATTTTGCTAAAAAATCTTAGAATGACCTACCGCAACGCCAGCAAACGTCTTGTGGAGTAAGTAGTATTGTCGTAAAAAAGTGAGAAGTTTAATTTTTTATAGAATAATGAGTAATGTAACTCCACCACTTTCAGTCGCTGAAGATAGCGACTCGGTTTTTTAATGCCATATTTTCTCTTGTTCCCGTTCAGGAATCTGATTTGGTTTCTCTGAAGTTGTAAAATGCATTCGAAGATTGAGTATAACACGTCGTTCAGCTGAAAAATTTCATCTGGACTTAATTTTATGGACTGTTTGAGTGTGCATTAAATCAGTGCTCAGATGACTGCAGCCATGAATTGCAAAAAGGCTGGAAAGCACAGCCGAGTTGCATACGTAAACCTGTCTTAAGAAAAATTCAGCTTACTGAGCAAATTATTTCATATTAATGAACATTGAAATTATAGTTCAACAGCAAATATTGATGTTTTTTTTTTTGTTTTTCTTACAGAGAAATTTAAGTTTATATTTTAACTGAAGTGAAATTGAAAATTTTAAATGTCCAACTTGCTCCAGGTGAAATTCTGTTGTCGTGTTCCAATGCTTTATTTGTTACCCTGTCTCTTCTTTTACCAAAAAGGACAAAAAGTGCCAATCGAGGGCTTTTAGAAAACGGTCGTCATTGCGTCCAGGCGAAAATTTCTATCGAAGTAATCTTCCGTTCTTCGCAAAATTGTCAATAATCGCCCAAGCGACTCTTAAAAATCGTTTGAATTATTAAAAATCGACGAACTTTACTCTCAATCAAAATAAGGGCCTTATTTATTTCATTTTTCAGTCAAGATAGCAGAGCACGTATGCTATGCTGCCGTGCTAAGCAAGAACGCCGTAAATCCATCAAGATTTTTCCTCTCCAATTTTTAGGTTAAGTTTTTCATAGCAGTGACGAAAAAATTCTGTTAAAACATTATCCCAGGGTGCACAAGTTTTTCTGCCATGATACGTTGTTTCCAAAAAATGTAAAATGGCGTTTACGGCGTTTTTGCGTTGCACGGCAGTATATCTGCCCTCACCCGACTGCTTCGCGGTGCAACCCTCCGAAGCGCTTCGAGCCTCGGGCGCTATGCGTTACGCGTTATTCTTCAAATTTTACATTACAGATTAAGATTAGTTAAATTTTGAAGGAAACCTATTTTTTTTAAAATTCGGGCGTTACTGCTCTCCCGGGTACCACAGTAGAGTGCTCAATCATAGTAGATGAGCCTCTTCATGGAGGATGGAGCAGCCAAATCTGGCAGCGAACGCACAGACAGTAGGATGGAACGTGCCACCAATACCGATCCACCCGCACCACCGCGCCGGACGGAATATTTTATTCAGGAATGGGGGGTAGAAATGTTGGTAGACGTGGAGGGGGTAGCCGGAGCAGCGCGCCAGAGAAAGTCAGGGCGATCAGGAATCAGGATCAGACAGCCGGACGGGGGACGGAACGGGACCCGTACACGGCGCGCCCGATTTTAAGGAATCAGAGGACCCAGATCAGCGGGGAACGAACCCAGGAAGCTGCCGATGGCGCGGAGATCTGCCGTGCTAAGGAAAAACGCCGTATGAACCTTCAGGCGTTGCCAAATTTCGATTGATAAACACGAATTTCCTGGCAAACTTATCAATATTTTTCTTCCAATTTTTCGGATAATATTGTTCCCCAACGAACTACACCTCTAGAATGGCTGACCAGTGTTAGAGACCCGGAACGTTTTGAAGTTGATATAGGTTAGGTTTACTTGGGCTCACACAGAAGGCTGCCATCTAAACCCATGTCAGACGCTGCCCACATTTTGCCGAATATTGTTGAATAAAGTGATAGCAATGAAAAAATTGCTGAACAATCGCACCTCAAAAGGTTTTCTTTACTCAAAAATTAGGAACTTTGAAAGAAAACCTCAAAAAAATGAAAGTTTACAAAGGTTGAAATTTTCACATGTAATCCTTATGGGCAAGACGCAGCAGAAATGGAGATTGAGGTTAGCTATACTTGGGCTCCCACCCCCTTCCTGCCTTCAAAAACCGGCCCATGCGCGTTACGCAGGTTTGCTATCTCGCGGCCATTCTAGAGGTGTAGTTCGTTGTTGTTCCCAATTTCACCTTACACTGGAAAAAAACACATTGGATCTAGAGTCCTGACTCTTAAAAACATCGACAAGAAAAAATACTCTAGATTCAATCAGATTTAAGCTTAAATCAAGAATCCAGACTCTTAATTTGAGCGGATTTCCTTTTGATTTAAGCTTAAATCTGATTGAATCAAGAGTCCTTTTTCTTGTCAATGTTTTCTAGAGTCTGGACTCCAGATCCAATGTGTTTTTTTTTCCAGTGTAAGTTCCTGAAAATTTTAAGGAAAAACATCCACAGCTCTCCTCAAAAATGAACATTTTATCGAAGGAAACTTGGCAACCCTTGAATGTTGATACGGCGTTCTTCCTTAGCACGGCAGAGATGGTCTCCAGGATAATCATCGACACAACGTGAGGGTGCCGGTGCCCTTTAGTCGAATCCGATCGGATTCGAATCGTGCGGGATGGCGGTATTAACGTCGCATTGTTGCAGATTTCAGGGAAACTGAGGGAACCGGGAAAGTTAGGGGAATGTTATCGAATTTTTACCGTGGTCTGGGAATGGAGAATTTGCATGCAAATTTTTTATTATTTCAGCTGAAAGTGCTGAAAGAGCTGATTTCACAGTATTTTTTATAATTTTTTTCTGATATGGGGAAAAGTATAAAAATAGATTTAAAAGTGAGAAAATGCACCGCCTAGTGACGTCATCTAGCGGCATTTCCCATTTAAACACATGTATTTTAGCAGATTAGATCCTTTTGTCATATCTTCTCCAATAATTGTTCAGTTCATGAACCAAGGATATCCTCGTGTTCAGTTCCCCCAGTAGTTTCCACTTCAACACGAAATTCATCAAATTTCAGACACTTGCAAATGCTCTATTGTATGATTGTCTAATTATGGTATCGTGGATTTACTTTTTTCTGCTTTATTAAGAATATTTAGAATTTTTGGCACTTGTTCAGTTAGGCGAATCTCACTGGCAAAATCAGAAGAATACCCGGAAGAAACAGTGAATCCTGGCGTAAATTTTCGAGAATTTTTCCGGTTAAAGCTAGGGAAACTTTGGGAAATTTTGGCATGATTATATATTCCGGGTCGTTGTTCTCTTTTGTTTCCCTTTTTTTTTTCAAAACCATTGTGAAAAATCAGGAGTCCCTGGTATCCGTTGTTAGGAATCTTATCGAAAAATCAAGAAAATTTATTACTCTTGAAACTTTGAACTTTGCTCGTGGGCTTTGTATCTTTTTTTACTATTTTTACCCGTATGTTAGTTTTTATATTTTTTTGGATTTCATTTTCCAATTGGGATACATATTTCTAGCTCATTCATAAAGACACCTATCTGCAAAGGGAAATTGCTAACACATTTTGGTTCAAAAGGGAGCTAGAAATAGTATTGCAAAAAGTCAATTTTTATTTCTAATTTTTATCCCCTGTCACTCGCGATTAGCATTACCGAGTTTGGATGTGTGGAGAAGTATGCTATGAACTCAGCTCGTGAAGTATTTACTTAAGAAGATGAAAGTGCTCGCGCGAAAATTCTTGACGGAATTGGCGGCACCGAGAAGTCGCGCCGGCGCGCTGCCGTGGCGCCAACCCCGTCCAAGTTTCAGTTTAAGCCGCAATTCATCGTTTATCTTACAAAATAACGTAACTACATTTCTGTGTTGCCGAATTTCCCCTTGCAAATTCATCCTTACCTTGAAAATCTTGGTTATTTCTGACTGAAAATCTCACTGATTTTTCCTCTGATCTCGTGCAAAAATCGGAGTTGTGGACAACAATCGCACAGGCACACTCTCGTGAAAAATTAAATCATTTAAATCGATTTTGCATCCTTGGAATGGAGTTGCGTTCCTAGACAACTAAGAATTGAACTGCATTTTGCAATTTGGAGCTATATAAATTCTGGCTTTTATGGAAAAACACTTAGGTGCATAGGGAAACTGATGGCACATACGTTGTTTTTAAACCGGGTTTTCGTTGCTTGTTGCAGAAGCGGAAAATGGTGAGCGATGCCACCTCGACCCAAGTGCTGCGCGATCTGGAGATATCCCTCCGTACGAACCATATCGAGTAAGTATGACAAATCATCACTATTCCGAACGCATGATCAGACCCAGACGTCTGCCGTTTTTATTTTAGTTTTCTTACCGTCACCTCATTTTCTAACTGCTTATCATTCATCGCTTCTTCGTCTATTCACCATTTATCATATTCATCATCTTCCAGATGGATTTTGATCGATGAAAACTTGAAAGGAGGGTCGAAGATAAGAAACATTTGATTCCATTTGAAGCATCTTATTTTCTCAACCAGAACGTCGATACACCCCTATTTTAAAACAACGTATTTTGTATACTTTGCGGCAGGAATATATCCTCGTAATGTACCCCCGTCTACATTAAAAGAATAAGAATTGGCTTGGACACAATTAGAAATATTATTGAATTCTCTGTCAAGATAATTTCCTCCTTAATCAAGAATTATATCGCTTAATTCATGCAGGTTTCTGCATGATCTAAGCGAATTTCTCTTTGATACAAGCATCTTTTCTTATTGGTGTAAGTATTGATCTTCTCATGCAAGAGGGTATGTTCTTGCCGGCAAATTCAAAAATATTTCTGCCTAAATCAAGAAGTCTCTTTTCTCTCAATGTAGGTGAATTTGTAAGTTCTTGACATTTCGACACCGCCTGTCGTCACTTTTGGACTCATGCGCTTTCAAGCAAACCAAAGCTATGAAATCATTTCCATACTCTAGGAAACTTCAGAGGGAAAAAATCGCCCCGGGGGGAGGGGGGTGTAAATACACCCTTAAAATGTGAGAAGGCACATTTGAGAGACCGGGAACCCAGGGAAATGATCAGCCGTTTCAACTGAAGAGGAAAAGTAGGGGATCTACCAACAGGAATGAAGTGCTATAAAGACTGTTTTCGAGCCGAAAAAGAGGATTCAAGCTCTTCAACTCGGGTTCCGCCTGTGCACACTGTTCACTGCAGACTCAGTAATTAGGAGCCATGTGGAGGCTTAAGGAATGAATTCTTACTGGCCGAGTGACCCGATGAACCTCTGCTCTTTCCTTGACCTCCCTTCAAATGAGATCTAAATATGAATTGACCATAACAATAACTCTGCCTCCATGCACCCCAGTCCGTACGTGCTATTCCGCGTATCGTAGAAAAATAGTCCTTGAAAGTTTATCTGGTCGTTAATGGGTCGATTTCAGTCTCTTCAGGAGCGAAAAAAATATCTCGACGACAGATTTTTTCTCTTCTCCCTAGCCTTGACTCTCGTCTGTCATGATGCTAGCAGACAGTGGCAGAACGTGAATCATTGACCATTCTCATTTGAAGACATGGTAAAGAATCGACGTTCGTTGCAGACACCCTGATAATCGATCCTTTTCCATAGTTTTAAATGGCAGAGCGATCGATTCATCGCGAAGCACGAATCGCTACTGCAGAAAATAGCTCAAACTCGAGCGTGACAGCGCGGATGCGTCCCACGAGCTGATAATGGGCTGTTTATGGTTGCAACTTGACTCATCTCTCAAGAATGGAGAATTTGACGTGCCAGAATTTTAGTTTCGTCTTAATGTCTGGTTCGTCTTAAATTGTTTACTCAAGAAGCATACAAGGGAAAAGCCCACGTGGTCAAATTACAGTGCAAGGAATGAATATTACTGTGCATATCGTAGGACTACTGAAATTTTGCTCGTCTTACTCTTTCTTGAACCAATAAAGTAAGACATATCGACGGTGCACTGGAAATAAAAACACATTGGATCTAGAGTCCAGACTCTTAAAAACATCGACAAGAAAAAATACTCTTGATTCAATCAGATTTAAGCTTAGATCAAGAACCAAGCCTCTTAATTTGAGCGGATTTCCTTTTGATTTAAGCTTAAATTTGATCGAATCAAGAGTCCTTTTTCTTGTCAATGTTTTCAAGAGTCTGGACTCCAGATCCAATGTGTTTTTTTTTTGTCCAGTGTGAAAGTCGGCAATCACATAACTCGGTTTGCGATGTCGCAGACTTCCTGTCATACTTAATTTTTTAATTGGAAAACTACTCAACGGCAATTCTTTGAAACTGCCGTGATTTTACTCCTCTGTGCGAAGAAACTTCTATAAAAACTTCAAGGAGTGATGTCAATTTGTTCTCCTTTAAAAAACAACATAAAATAACATAGAGGCGGAGATTTTTGGACACCGCAACCGAGATATGTGATTGCAGACTTGCGCCGTCGCTATTATTATTAAACTCCGTTGAATGGAGATGTTGCATGTGTGAAGAATTTGCGATTTGACTGTTGGTTCTCATGTAAAAGTTGGCGAGAAACACGATGGTGCTACTGGTTTTTTCGAAAATCATCTCCCAAGCTCAAAAAAAGCTCTCAAGTTGAGGCCAAAATGGAGGAGATATCCTACCCTTCCCTGAGAGTCCACCTCTACATCAAAACAAACTCCATGCAAAGATAGGGAGCAAATACATTAGCAAGGTTGCCGTGTTTTCAGTTTTAGAGTCCCCAAATAAAGTAGCAGCCCTGTCAATGTATTTGCTCCCTATCTTTTTATGGAGAGTTTGTCTTGATTCAGACATGGACTCTCAGGGTAGGGTGGGACATCCCCTCCATTTTGGCCTCAACTTGAGAGCTTTTTTTGAGCTTGGGAGTTGATTTCAGAGAAAACCAGTGGCACCATCGTGTTTCTCACAAACTTTTACATGAGTATCAGCAGTCAAATCGCAAATGGCTCACACATTCAACATCTCCATTGTGGAGTTTTTTCTTGAAAGCTCTCTAGTATCTTGAGGTGCCATCTTGGAATTTATGGAAACGTCTCTCGTCTGAAAATTTACACCTAATAGATGTGACACGCATCAAGTTAGATCCATTCAAAATCCCCCAGTCCTAAAGTCAACCTTCTCGTCTCACTTAATAAAAGAAGACGTTCGCTCCCTGAGGAAACATCTCTCCTAAACCGTCAAAGTTGGAGAACACACGATATTGGATTTCACGGATTCCGAGTCAACCAACAACTCTAATATCTGCCTGGAAATCGCGTTTGTGGTCATCTGCATGCTTAAATTTCCTCACTCCTTGTCCATGCCCATCTTCCTCCAGCACTGCGGGAGTGAGCTAGATGACTGATGACCTCTCAGCTCACAGCGCGACCAATTGCCCGCGACGCAGCGCAACGGTCGCTAATTTTATAAGTTGTCAAATTGTTTCAGAGTTATGATCAACTTATGATTAGATCGAGTGTTCGGTGACCTGGGAAAACTAGAAAAGTTGAGGAATTTTAATTAAAACTTAGCATTTTCTATTTCAGCGAAATCGCGAAAGTTTTTCCAGGCGTTTTTTTTTTTTTNTTTTTTTTTTTTTTTTTTTTTTTTTTTTTTTTTTTTTTTTTTTTCCAGCCAGTAGACACCTTATACTGAGCGTGCGAGAAATGCAATAATTCATTTCTCAGAGTGTTTGTTATATTCGCATGAATTGTTTATTATAATACGGTAAACTAATTAAACATAATCATTTTTGTGTCATCTTCAAAACTATTCTCCATGGTCGAAAAATCAAGACATGCAATGAGCCTAAAACGCTTTGTAATCAGATGCGTTTCATCTCGCTTTCGCATGAAATCGTACTCTATGTGTATAATTACTGAAAAATGCTTCAAAAGTACTCCAAAAGCCCCTCAAATGTATTCCATGACTGTTTAATCTCCTCCTCTTCACGAGGCCGCATAAGTCGGATACAGCGTATATTAGAGATCGTAATAATCCAGTTTTTTGCCTATGGAATGATCCAACGAAACTCAAAGTTTTTCGATTTGTTTACGATCAATTTAGAAGCTTACGGTAGAAGGGCTATTCGGCTTGCAATGCTGCTACGATTGTGCAATTTTCCGTAGCTTTTGCAGAAAATAAAATGCATTCACATTTAACTTACTTCCACACAGTAGTACGGAAAAATTAGGAGCAGATTCGGGGAAAAATTCATGCCACAGCTTCTGGATAGGTTATTTTCAACTTAAAAACTACGTTGCACAATCTTTGCAGCACTGGAAGCTTCACACGCCCTTTTACCGAGGATGTCCTCAATTTCGCGCGTCGCGGGGTGTTTCCTTCGAACTTCCTTCGAATTCTCAAAGAGTTTCCTCGCTTTTTGGAAACTGTCGGAAAAATTCTCGAGAAATTCGAATTATATCGAAATCCACACCGCGGTCTTGCCTCTAATGTGGCAATAACGAAAAGCAACTGCCAGGTCTCGATTCCGTCAATTAATTCTGCCCTATTATCCTAGCATTCATTCTCTTAGCGCGCGCAAGGATACCTTATTAATTCCTCTCTTGGCCGCGGTCGCGGTGCGGGGTCCATCTCTCTCGCGGGCATCTTTTCAAAATAGCAACTCTCTCGGCTGCCAGAGATTAGGCCCCGAATAACTATTAGAATTAATAAATTAGATAACGGAGAAAACTGTATCTTGTATTTTTGAGATGTGATTGGCTGTTGACGTGAGCTAAAAATGTGACGCCAGGAGCCTCGCATCGCATCGTCCCCGTCCGGATCCTCGAATTAAACTCGAGACTAATGAGTACGATGGTCGATTTTACCTTCCTTGTCCCAAAAGAAAGTGGACTCGATTAATGTCAAAACTAATAATGCTAAAGCGAACAATAACGCACCTCTTATTTGGTTTTAACTAATTTTGTGCGAGGAATGTTTATCTTCATTTTTAAGTCGAAATTAAATGTAATTATTACCTAGTACAGGGTTGCCACCTCCAGGGAAAACTGGGAAATGTCAGGAAAAACCTGGAAATGTCAGGGAAAATTACGGAAATGTTGGGGGAAAATCCTGATGTCATTTTTATTTGCTTCATAGAAAAGGTTTGACGTTTCGAACAACGAATTTGCTTGAAAATTATTTCTAATCATGTCCTTTTCACCATCTGGCGTCTCTTCAACTGTCAGGGAAATCAGGGAAATGGCAAGGAATTTCATCCTCTAAATTCTGTGGAAACCCTGCTATTATTATTTTACCTATAGCTCGTAGGCGGCAGCATTGCGGCCTTCACCCGAAATGTTAGATTTTTTTTTAAATTTTCAAGCAAATGAGATGATCTCGGTTTTGCCCAATAGCTTGAGATCTGATTCTCAAAACGAGAACACAATTATGCATCTATGGCATTACTAGATTTGAAATATAATGTATGAGTCTATCTACATTTTTTCAATAAAAAGGTGTATAACTCTTTGGAGACTGCTCAATACGAGAGAAATCTTTTAATCGAAGTTTTTAGCACAGGAGCTGCAGAATTATTTTTTCTTCTCCTTTTTTAAAAATAAGTCAAGAATATTTCGGGAAGATCAGCGTTTTTGAAGTGGACGTATACTTCACTCTTTAATTCAAGACCTTTGGAAGATTCCGAATCTATACGTTCGGTCTAGATTTGAAACGAACACACGGCAGCCTACCTTCCAGGTCGAACTGATCGCTCATCCACCTCACGTTCTGATTTGAGTTTTCGTATTCTACTTGATCCCTTGAAGCGACCGGTCACTGGGGCGAGAACGGATGTACGAGTTTGCTGTCCCGATGCGGAATAGTAATCGTGACATTTTTTTCTCTTTTTCCAGGTGGGTGCGAGAATTTTTGAACGACGATAACCACGGATTGGAATCTCTGATCGACTATTTAAGCTTTAGGTTAGTTATGATGCAACGCGAAGAGAAGTTAACGGATTCTAGGAACAACTCGGAGGAACATCTTCACGCCACCGCAAACGGTAATTATAAACTCATCAGCTTGGAAACCACTAGTGTTTAATGCACGCATTTACACCTTTATCTCCCTTACCTGTCCCTTCGTGTTTAAAAATGCTTGAAAATTAGGAGCACCATTCTTCGAAATGTCATTTATTAGAAAAAAAATCTGAATAAGTTGGGCGAAAGAAAAAAAATGTCAAATATTTTGACGTCTCCGAAAATGTTGAGCCTTTTCTTAATTTTTTTTAAGTTTGTCAAAATGTTAAGGCACTAGAAACTTGGAGCTTATCTCAATATCGCCAACAGGTGTCAAGAAAGAATTTTTTTTTTTTTTATACTTCTGTTGAATTCTTCCACCCCCTCCTCACCTCTGCACAATTCATCCCTTGCCATCCCTTTTTGCCATGTTGCATAATTTAATTTTCTTTCATTAATGAATTCTTTCTTTTAATCTATGATCCAGGTCAAACTAGCTCTCTTAGCAACCACTCCTCTTTATCAAATCACATATCAAGTAATTTTCAAAATGGATTACCCGGAGGTTCCACAAGGCCTATGTTAGATATTTTAAATAGTCCGGCATTGAAACGCAAATCAAAACATGCTGCCAAACTAAAAATGGGTGATACCAAGGATGACATCCATGTCTGTATCATGTGTTTACGTGCCATCATGAATAATAAAGTAAGTATGCTGAAGTGTCTTTTTGCTTATAGCTAGTATTAGTAGCACTAAAAACCAGGGATTCTCCCCAAGGAAACCATGAAACCGGAAAACAGTCCCCCAAACATTCTGTATCTGTCATGGCACAAAGTGCCAATTTTTTTCTTTTTCTCTGCACAGAGTCCATTTAAATTTTGAATGGAAAATTTGTGGTTTTGCAAGTTTTTTTTACAATTTTTAATGGCTGTCTTGCTTTCTATTTCCATAGGAAAATTCTTTTTATCACTATCAGCCAGAAAATATCTAAGAAAAAATTTTTTATTTTCGACCTGATGAAGGGAGGGAAAAATTTAATTACATACTTGGAGACATATTTTCCAGGTCTCATAAATAAAATTTTACTCTTCCTCTCAAGTGAGGAAAATTATCCTTGTGTGCAAGAAAAAAAATTCGAAGATAATGATAACTGAAAAATTCCAAGGAAAAAAAGGATATTTTTTGTGAATAATCAGAATTTTGTATGCTCAAATGAATGTTATCTTTTTGCTCTGTATCTTTAGCACAGCGTACATTTTTAAAAAGTCCTATCCCTCATTTGTAATCTCCATTCCTCCAAATGCAGTTTGAGAATTTTCAGTTCTGAAAGTTTTAAATTATTTAAAAATCTTAATAACAAAATGAATTTTAAAAGGAAGAATTTGTTTTTGTTTTTTAAAATTTGAGTGAAGTTTTTTTTGTATCTGATTTTTGAAAATATTTTACCAATGAAAAAACTTAATAGGAAGAAGAAGTCAATGACATTGCATCCATTTAAACCTAATATCCATTTTTGATAGGAAAAAAAATTATGTATGTTGTAATTTAATACGGATTTTTTTCTTTGTTATTACTCCATTTATCAATTACATCCTCATACAATGATTATTTTCTTTTGTTTAGTACGGATTTAATATGGTGATTCAACATACAGAAGCCATCAACAGTATAGCATTAAGTTTAGTCCACAAAAGCCTTAGGTAAGTAGGTATTTATTGCAGTTTTTTTTCTTTTCTTTTTTCCTTTTTTAAATTCTTCTTTCAATCTCATTTCAATGGGAATTTAAACTGCAGTAAAAGCTTGCTAAGTCAAACCACGGTTAAGACGAAATGCGGATTATGTGGAATTTTTTTTCGGTCCCTAGAAACGTTCATAAGTTAAGCGGAGAATAGGTTAAGACAAATTGCTGCTTCAGTCGACTTTTTTGTCGGTCCCTACTCAATTCGACTCAGCAAGCTTCCACTGTACTTCAGTTGCGCATAATAGCTTGAACGAAAATCAAAGTACGTTTTTGATCTGAAGATAATTTCCAGCTGTTTTAGAGTCAGAATTCGAATCTTCCAAATTCCAATTTTATCGTCAGTGTTAGGCTATCTTTGATGCTTTATTTTTGACAGTTACCTATTTAGTTAGTGAGGTAGTTGAAAATGCTGCTTGTGGAAGATTTAGGCTGTAAAAGATACCTCCTCTTTGTAGGCAAGGCAGAGTGATAATAATGAAGTAGCCATAAGTATGTATAGTGTGCCTACTCGCCTTCCAATTGAAAACTAATATGCAGTTATTGCTGTCAAAATCAATAAATGCTTAGTTCTCTTTTATCAGGGAATACTGCTCTCCACCTATGATTATTTTTCATTTTCATTAGTACAACTAATTAAAAACAAAATCAATATTTTCCATTGGTAAATGATGAAAGAAAAACTTCATCCATCTACAGTACCATTATAGCTTTTGATGAACAAACGTACTTACAATAACACAAAATATAAATTAAGTGTATTTATTGGCTTTAGTGAGATCAATAGCTTTAGCCTCTTGCTTTGAACTTCAAGCAGAATTTTTGCAGCTTCCCTCTCTTAATTTTTTATTTTTATGTTTTTCTTGACAGGACAAAAGCGTTAGTTTTGGAGCTTCTTGCAGCAATTTGTCTAGTCAAAGGAGGTCATGAGATAATCTTATCTGCCTTCGATAACTTTAAAGAAGCCTGCCATGAAAATAGGAGGTTTCAAACACTAATGGGGTACTTCATGAACTATGAAGTGTTTCACATGGAATTTATGGTGGCATGTATGCAATTTGTAAACATCATCGTGCACTCTGTTGAAAATATGAACTTTCGAGTTCATTTACAGTATGAGTTTAGTCAACTAGGATTAGATCAATATTTGGAACGATTGAGGCATACTGAAAGCGAAGAACTGCAGGTACAAATATCTGCATACCTCGACAACGTGTTTGATGTTGGAGCTTTAATGGAGGATAGTGAAACAAAAACTGCAGCCTTGGAAAAGGTGGCAGAACTGGAGGATGAACTCGGGCGTGCCCATGAGCGTTTAGCAGAACTAGAAAGAGAATCTTTAGCTCAGTTGGCTGCGCTAGAGAGTGCACTCGGTGCTGCTAGGCAAGAAAGAGATGAGGCAGCTGAAGGTCGTAGGGTGATTGAAGAAGAAGTACAGACCCTCAGAAGAGTGGTGAATAACCAACAACGAGAAAGTCAAACCCGACAATCATTATTAGAAGAAAAAATTCAAGAACTAATTGCACGCACCGACTCAGGTTCCACAAGCGGTGTATCTAGTTGTTCCTCTTCAAATTGTAGCACAAGTAGTACAACAAGTAATGGAATCGGGGTTTGCGTAACCCCTATCCCTCCCCCTGCGCCCCCCGCCCCACCACCACCACCCCCTCCACCATGCATTCCATCAATGAGACCACCTCCGCCTCCTGCCCCAGGCATGATGCCGGCACCAGACGGTGCCATGACAATCAAAAGGAAGGTCCAAACAAAGTACAAACTCCCAACGTTAAACTGGATTGCTCTCAAGCCAAACCAGGTTAGTTTTGTGTTCCATACTTCTTACCCATAAAATTAAGCAAAGAGCAATTTTCTCGACTCATGAGAATCCAAACGCAAAGGAAACATTCAAAATTGAGATATTTGCATCACCGCTTACCACCAATTGAAACAAGCACTAGGGCACTTAAAATTCGCAAAAATGTTTTACTCTACTCGACTGTAATTATACTGGAAATACAACTTTACCTCATGCAATTCAAAAATCATTGTTTTTGCCAAACCAAAACACCTGCCTGCGTTTACCTCGGAAACACATGATCTCACGTATGTCTGAGGTGCTCCTAACAGAGGTGTACTCCTAGCTAGAGTGCGTCTCTGCTACAAATTGGTATCAAGAAGGTGCAATTTGCCTGAAGAACTCTGGCAAGGTTTTGATGAGTAACAGATGAGAGCTGGAGAGGACGTTGAATCTCTTTAACAGTGACATTATTAGTGTTAAATAAGTTAAATCGTTTTCAATTTACAGAACAGGGTGAAAGTTTTCGTCAAAATCTGAAAAGTTTAATTTTGCCACTCAATTGGATGAAAATCCAACTTCTGATTAATAAATGTCTGTGCTATAGGATCCCTTCTCCTGTGTAGATTCAAGCATGATCTAAGAACAGTGGTAGATTTTAAAGGTTCAACAGTTAAGTTTTTACTCTACTTCAATTGCAATGAAAGTTAGAGCCTCCATTAAAAAATTTTCTCGTTTATTTTACGCTAATTAAATGGAAAAATTTTGAATCGATAAACTGTGCCAAGTCACTGAGGCTTCTTTTTTACACAATCAGGAAACACATTTAAACCCTTTTTCATAATATTTCAGAATCCTTTAATCTCACCAAAACTCTTTTCTCCATGGTCAATCATGTCACATTTTTATTTCTTTTTCCTGTACTCAGTACTTAACAAAGATATTTTTTGTTTCCCAGGTGCGAGGAACCATTTTTAATGAACTTGATGACGACAAATTATTTTCTGTGATCGATTTTTCTGATTTTGAAGAAAGATTTAAAATAGCTCCCGGTGGTCGTGCTTTATTGAATGGAGATACTGATGTAGGAGATGGATTAATGAGTTACCCTAGTAAACGATTTAAGAAACCGGAAAATGTTTCTTTACTAGAACATACCAGACTGCGAAATATAGGTAAGCCTTCCCCTACTTATTATTTTTATGAGGTATTTTGTTTATTTCAATATTTGTAAGGAGCGTCTCTTGGTTTACTGGGCAACCTTTGACCCTTTCATTTAAAATATCAAGAAAATCCAAAATGAAATTTTAGTAGACACCCTGTTTATCGCAGAAAAATTGATTTTCCAATAATTTAATAGTGAAATTCTATTAATCCTCCTTATACTCTTAAAACCCAAGTATTTACAGGAGCAGGTCACACGCAAAGCACCTCTCAATATGCAATGAAAGTGCTTTTTTTTAATGAATTAAAATTGCAACAAGTCCAATAATTTTAGCATGTAAATTTAATAAACTGAAATCAGCAGGCAGTAGGATCTGACCTTTGGGGTAATTTGTTCTTTTTGTCTTTACCTTCTGGATCCTCTGTAGTCCTAAAAATTCTGGTTCATTTTTTATTTAGTTACGATTTTTATTTATCTCTCATTTATATTATGTGTGTTATTTTACAGCCATATCAAGGCGGAAAATAGAAATGCCAGTGGAACGAGTGATAGTTGCTGTGAATGCCCTAGATTTAAAACAATGTCCGTTAGAAAATGTAGAAATCCTTCAGCGCATGATACCAACTGAACAGGAAGTAAGTCACTGTGTGTATTTCTTTTCTTCACTTCAGTACGTCTTACATTCTTAGAGAGCCTTTCTAAGAAAGACTTGCTCTATGGGGGAGTTTAAATGAATCAGAGTTAAAATCATATATCAGATCTTAGAGTCGTAAAACCTTTACAGCAACGTCCAAGTTAAGTTTATGAAGTCAGGAGTGGACACTCAATTTTTTTAATGTTCGTTGTATTTCAAGAAGTTCACCTGTGATACAGTGTATTTTTTACACTGCTTAAAATGCGATTAGCATTGTGGTTTATGGGTGAGTTTTCTTAATTTTTTTTAAATACTTTCTGCATTCAATTTCAAGTTTCAAGTTGACTCTGTTTTAAACCTTCATTTCTTTGCTCTTATTGTATTTTGCCCCATATTAAGAGTGACTTAATTTTCCTTTATTTTGCTAATAGACGAAATTGTACCGAGAATACCTAGCTGAAAAGAAAGATGTAACTCTCCTCACAGATGAAGATAAATTTCTGATGTCTTTAACCAAAATAGAAAGATTATCAACGAAACTATCTATAATGAGCTACATGGGAAATTTCCTGGATAACCTTCATCTAATTATGCCGGTAAGTTACCATTTTGCAGTTTTCTTTTGTAATCCTAAAATTCTCTGGCCTTTGATCGAATGGGGAATGGGCCTGAAAAAATGTTAGCATATAATCTTCTTTGTAGTCGGATGGAAGGGGATATTTTTGGAGAGGATTTTTGTATTGTATTTACTATTACTTTTATTGTTTAATTTTAATTGTAATACAAAGAAAAAAGTACATAACTGGAACTAAACGAGGACTTTAAAAGTGAGACAGTTGGGGATCGACCTCATAATCTTGCAGCTGCAAGGCGAGAGCCATACTGGCGTGCAACTACTTCAAATATGGCAATTCAATCTTTAAGCCGCAGATGATAAGTTGTGCTTCTATCACATTAGCAAAAACTGGAAAGTAACAGTCAACTGCACTTCACCTATTTTTTACCTCAAACCTCAACCAAATAGGAGGCATCTACTTCTAAGCCTTCCCCTCTTTGATGCATAGTACAGAATATTCAAGATGATCCAGCTTTATATCCTCCTCACATTCAATAACGCTTTTATAATATGAGGAATACAGATTTAATGAGTAGGTACAAAATACAAATTGGGTAGTGGGGAAAGTACTTCCTGTTTGTTCCCTCTGATGAAAGAAACAATTTATTTTTCCGTTTTTATATTGGATGTACATATTATCATTGATATTTTTTGCAAGGAGTTGTTTAAGAAGAAAACAAATTCTAAAAACTGTGTATTCTCTCTGCAATTAAAAGTAATCAAGCTAAAAAAATATTCTAAATATATTAGATATATTATATTAATAAATCAAGATAATCAAAGGGTTTTATTAATGTACTAAAATTGACTACGTACGAAATACCAAAAAATATGGCAAGGGCTAAATTCCGATATTTTTTGATATGATGTTCCGTCTGATCGCCTGAGTAAAATGAGCTTTTAAATTAATTTCAAGATAATCAGATCTGAAAAATGCATTTTATGGCAATTCAACATGTGTCATTACATGGAGAAGTGGCACCTTCAATGAGTCGAAAATGTGAGGCCTTTGGTTTTGAATTAAAATGACGCTCCCTCTTATCTCTCCGACGAGAGATGAGGAAAGAAGAGTTCACTCCTTGATCACCTATGTTGTCCTGCCAGATATTGCGTGTAAAACTGCTGAAAAGTGCACTTTTCAGATCTGATTTTCTTGAGTTTTGCACATGGAAAGTTTGATCTTGATATTTCACTCTCTTAGGATCTTGTGAAGAAAATCATAAATAAAAAAATCTTGATATTTAGCTTGCGCCAAATTGCTTAGTATTCTGTTATAATATTAATGAGCAGTCCTTTGTTCTCAATGAGCTACTTGCTGTACACATCTCATAATCCCCAAAGGTAAGCCTGCATGATACCTTGATTTACCTTTGCATTCAAATGATATGTAACTCTTTTCTCAAGTATGATGTATTTTTCTTTGCAGCAAGTGCACGCGATCATATCTGCCTCGAGCTCTGTTAAAAAATCAAAAAAATTACGGCAAGTTCTAGAAGTAGTCTTAGCATTTGGAAACTATATGAACAGTGCAAAACGAGGGCCAGCATATGGATTTAAGTTGCAGTCTCTGGACACGTTGTTAGATACCAAATCATCGGACAAACGCATGTGTTTGTTACATTACATAGTTGATACTATTCATTATAAGTTTCCTCACCTTCTGTCATTCGATTCTGAATTAATGTATATTGATAAAGCTGCTACTGGTAAGTATCTTTACTTCTCAAATCGACGGCGTAAGTTCGCAATCACATATCCCGTTTGAGGTGTTTGAAAATCTCCGCCTCTTGTGTTTATAAAGGAGAACAAACTGACATCATTCCTTGAATTTTATGCAGAATTTTCTTTGCACAGAGGAGAAAAATCACAGCAGTTTTAAACAATTTCCGTTGTGTAGTTTTCCATTTAAAAAATAAAGTATGACAGTAAGTACGACATAGCAAACCAAGTTATGTGATTGCCGACTTACACCATCGAAATGTGTCTCTATTAATAAGCCTCTTCTTCTTCCTTTGGCCAGGGCATAAGCTGTGTTTGTCCAGCCATTATCGTATCAGGCTTATCATAATTTTCTTAGCCCACCGTTTTTAAATTTATGCCTCATATTTTGGTCATTTTGAAATGGGAAATTTTAAAAAAGAAGTAAAATAAACCTGTAACTTGTTGATCTTTTGGTCGAATGTGAAAGCAGAAGAGAAATACTGGGAAATTTGCTGTCAGCAACTCCTTGCTTAGCGAAGATTCTGTGCCGTACGTTTTGCTAGACTTAGCAGCAACAATCAAAGTCTACTCTAAAAATCTCATCAGATTATTTCCCCTCCACCAAGTAGACACAATACATATGTATTCCAATCATGTATCCTGAATTCAGTAAAGTAGAACTGTACTCTCTTTTTACCCTTCTTTCAATGGACTACTAGACAAGGTGTAATTTTAAGCATTATAATTTATGTTTTCTCGCCAAAATATCAAGTAGAACATGATTTGTGCAACAAAAATCATTGTAAGTAATTCCTTACTGATACCTCTACGTTTTTTTATGTCTAAATTCAAACTTCCCTCTCATGAAAGAACCATATTCTATCAGAGTAAAATTCCACACTACACGTTACTGTAGCAGTCTCTGCGGTATGGAAATATACCAACCTCAATCTTGGCGCCTTGGCTCAGCTGTTGCACATTGTTTACACTTGGAACAATACTGGGGGCAGAAGGAAAACTGTGATTATGGGGCCTGTTAGTACTGTTGCAGTGCTTTATTTGACTCACATAGACTCTGGTTTCTCCTGTGAGCGGTGAATCCAAATTTTTTGTAATCAGTGCTAAATAATAACGTTAATATCCTGGTTAGGAGTCGTTTTCAGTAATTTTCGAGGTGCGGATTGTGTTCTATGAAAGGAATAAAAGGGGAAAAAAATTAAAATGCTTAAATTCATACCGTGTCTAATGGTTCATTGACTACTTGTAACCAACGAGCAAAAGTTTAGGAGCTAGGAGTTCCATTTAATGATACATACTGGACACTTTTCTGGAGAAAATGAACAAGTACATCTGAGAATACTTTTCCTATTTTACTCTTCTAAAGGCTTGACCTAGTTATCAGCAGTTAGATTTATAATCGTTTCTCTCTTTTGTTTATTCGATTATTTTATTTTTAATTTCAGTCTCACTTGAAAATGTTGTAACTGATGTTCAAGAGCTTGAAAAAGGTATGGACATTGTGCGCAAGGAAAGCGAAATTAGAAAAGACTCGATGAACAAAAATCATCCATCTGTGCTTCGAGATTTCTTGAATAATTCTGAGGAGAAACTACGGAGGCTGAAAAATGACACCAAAGTTAGTCAAGACTCGTTTAGAGAATGTGTCGAGTATTTTGGAGAATCGCCCAAAATGACAGATGCCAATGCATTCTTCTCAATGCTTGTGCGATTTACCAAAGCATTTAAGGTAAGTTCTGCGGAAATTGTTCCTATCTATTTTCCTTTCTTACCCTCAGTGATCGGATCCCTCTGAATGAGCAGCTTGTTTCGCAATGAGCAGGAAATATTTAGAAGCCATTAAATACTGTTCTTTTCTAAGGATAAGTTGTCTCCAATATTTTTAACCTAGCAGCGTATTTTTACGCAAACATATTTTTGATAGGAGAGGGCTGTTGTAAAACATAGGATTACCATAAAAATAGAGTAACAGATTGATTTTAACACAGATTTGATCAAGAAACGCATTTCTAAGCTTTAAAAAGCTCAAAATAGCTGCTATAAGTGAGCTAAAGAGGCTCCAAGTTGAAGTTATAAAAAGTATGTTTCTCATTGGCCCGGAGCTTACGATCTCATATGAGGCGACAACCCATGGTATTAACATCCGTGAATCCAATGCAACATGATTCAAATCACTAACAAATGATCTCATTTTAAAAAAAAAAAAAAAAAAAAAAACTACAACAATATTTATTTCAAGCAGTGATAATATCACTGATACATTACCTCTCACTATGTGGCATGAAAGTAAATGAATAAACTGTTCGGAATCGGGTGAAAAAACAAGAGATATAAACAAAAACTCTTTGTCGTTTCAAACAAAATCCGACCATGTTGTGAAATGTTCTATTTCATACCTCACCTAAAGGCCCCTCGCCCCTTCTTGTGATGGAACAAAATCTGTCTGAGTGATATTTTTCCATTTGAAAATGGGGATTTTCAGCGAATTTGAAAGTCTTTTTCTTCAGTAAAATTTGATTAAATTAAAGATGGAATAATATGTATTCTCATCTTTCATGTACTTCCTAAAAGTAAATTTAAAGAAAGAAAAAAAAAGTTTTGGAATAGCGCCATTGCAATTTTCACAAATATTGCACAGCTGTCCACAAAATTGATGAACCTTTTTGCTGGATACCAAGCGAGAAACTTCAGATTCGTGTCTGTAATTGAAGTAAGCTTATTGAGACTTAATCTTGTCCAATACAGGCGGCTGACATAGAAAACGAGCAGAGGAGACGACTGGAAGCTGCAGCCAAAGAAGTAGCTCTCAACAATAACAACAGTGAAGAAGTAGCTCAGAAGAACAAACTAAATCAAAAAAAGCAACAGGTAGATTTTTGCTGCTTAGATCTTTGTATATCCTCCCAGATGAAACAGACTATCGCAAGTTTGCATTGAGTTTTTTAACCGCATGCATTTGATCACAGACTCAGCTTCATTGCTGTTAATTGTAAATACTCCTCCTTTGCACGTCATAGCACTTATATATGTATGTATATAGTAAATAATTATCCATCTCATTTTAATGACTGGCACCTATTTTACTTGACTTCGTTAGTGTAAATATGTATATATATTATATATACATAAAACGATAATCTGTAAATAATTCTTCAACTGTTAATCTCTGATGACTGACCAATGCGTTGCTCTCTAATTAATATTTTACATCCTCTTGTCTTTATTCTCTATCATCGGCAGTATCTAAATGAGTAACCAGTAATTATGGCAGTAACCATTCTATTTTAACATTGGCTGTACATCATATAATTTTACCAAATAATTTTAAAAAGACTTGTACATTGAAAATTAATCAACAGTTAGCTTAGTTTGTCGATTGAATAATAACTTACCGGTTTGTTTTTTTTTTTAAAATTTTCTAGTATTATTTCGACTCTGATACTATCATGACCATTATTTAGATTTTAAAAATATTACAATATGTTAGTCTCAAGAAGTTTTTGCAGTACTCTCAGCTCTCAGCACTATAGCAACGACTAACAGTCTTTGAAGTGCTCATTTTCAAATTGAATCAATCCATATTATTAGTTAAGAGCATTATTTTTCCACCTTCACTTAGTGTGAATCTCAAGTGAAGCTTTCAAGTTGATTCCAAACTACACAACATTGATGAATGGTGAGGTGAATCGCTCAGAATTTCCCAGGCAAAGAGTAGTATGGTTAAGTTGTTTAGAAACCAAGGGTCTTGTTGTTAGCCTTGAAGAGCATTTATTATAGCTTAGGCTTGGCATTTTTTTTTCACATCAGTCATAAAGACAGATTTTCCTCCAAACTGGACAGCGCTGCTCCACGCCAGTTGCTATTTAGCGCTTGCAATAAATCGAAGTTCACCCAACAGCAGTAGGGTGCAGCACTGCTCCTGGAGCAGTATTGTGTCTGAAGCAATATATGGGTTCATATCGGAGGCCAGTTGTGCTCCATGTGCAAAATCACTGCGTCAGTTGAAGGAAAATCAAGCCTAAGGCCAAAAAGTCAAAATTGCAGTCCCTTCACTTGTCTCAATGCCTGCCTCTAGTCATTTGCTGTTCATGGAATGTAGCGTGATGTGGAGCTGGCCTGATGGAGGCAAGAAAAGCATCTCATTCAGCCTCTAAATATATCAATAACTTTCATTCATTGATCATCAAATTAGTGGTGTATATTATTCATCGAAAGATATGTTTAGGATTGTTTCCAAGTTCTAATGAAATAGAGAGAAGAAAGTTTTTTTCAAAGTCATTTTCTCGATAAATGTTTAGTATAACACAAATGCCTGTACGCTGTATTTTTGTTGTTAATATTTATTTCCATTATTTCTGAAATTCTTTGTAAAAATGGGCAACTCGGTTTACTTTAATAAATTGAGCTCAAACCTCTGATATTTGAGTTATTTTTTTAAGTTTTCCCCACTGAATATTAACTTAATAGATTCTCTCTAACCAGTCAATCACTATCACACATCATTTTTGCGTGCATTTTCCTGTATTATAATGCCTGATTGACGGAAACCATTTTATCCTACCGAGGCTTTGCAAAACTTTCAATCCATTTTTGCCCTTAATCATATTTTTTCATTTCAAAGAAACAAATATTTTTTCTATTTGCCATGAATCATATTTCTTTGTTTCAAAGAAACAATTTTTTTGCTATTGTGAAGAGTTTTCATTTGAATGAAAATGTGAAACAAATTTTACTTTGACTTCGTCTTATCAACTGGATTACATTGAAGGATTCACGTTGCTTTTTTCACCATCCACCTTTCATGTCTTTTTTATCTTTCACCTCATGATCCCATCAAAGTCTCTTTTTCCCCTAAGTTTTGGTCCTTTTTCAATATTGCAGGTGCGTCAAAAGTAGTCGAGAATTGTTATTTCTCCTCTAAGCCTTTTTCCTCAAAGTTTGCGATGAATTTATACACATGTACCTTAGGCTGTACAGTTAAATTTTCTTGCTAGTGTGGGCCAAAGTGTATAAAAGTTGCAGTGAGTTCATGATTGTGAGTTTTACATATGTTCATCAGTTAAACTTTTGGTTTTGCTATTTTCATTTATTTGATGTAGTCTTTGTCCTAATTTCTAGCATGCTAATGTTTGCATCAATTCAGAGAAAGTAATGAGTTTTGGTTCAGCTTTTGTTTGCTTTTACCATAGTCAAAAACATTTTTGATGGTTTTTAAGCACTTTTTTTGCACCGCTTATAATGTTTTTAACATGATGTTAAATTCTCACAATACAGTAGCATTAAGTAAATGAATGAAGGGTGATCTTGCATTTTCCAGTCAAAAATGTCCATCAATTTCCAGTTTGAGTGAACATTTGTTGACCTATCTTACTGCAGTGAAGACGAACATTGTCAGTAATAAATTAAATATATGTAGACAAAATAGTCGATGAATATGTATGAAATAACAATCTGTAGTCATCAAGTGTCAGTTTGTCAGTGGCATTTTCTGCATGTATGAAAAGAAATGCACCAAGAAAGAGGAATGAGGAATTATTTTTTATCCTGGTCAAAATTTCAAAAAAATTGCTTTTGCTGATCTCTAAAGAAGAATGGGGCACTTGTCGAAATTGTTGAGATAAATTAATGGTGGTCAGTTTTAACTCAAGGTGGTGCATGTCACAGAAGTGTGAAAACTGAAAATTGATCGGTTATCATTATTGACCTGTGTAAGAAATAAGACTTAGCTCTATGTATCATCTAGAGTGAAATCAGCCAGTTCATTGACATCGCAGCAACTGAGCAGGTGCCACAGTTATTCTAGAGTGCTGAGTATCTACAAGTTGTTTTTTTAGCTTCAAATATTCTCTAAAAGTCTAAAGTAGACCCTAATTTTGTACAAAAATTTGATCTGGCTATTAATTAATTTTAAATCGGTTCAAGTAATTTATTAGTTAGAAAATCTCAGACTGCTGAACCAGCCAAAGCAGATGTTTCTGCCATAAACATGATCAAAGGTTGTTTTCTTCCATCCAGAGGCTTCATGCAGTGTTTCAATATCATATTTGTGATTTGAGTTCTTATAGGCAAATTTTTCAATATAGTTAAGTCGATTTGAATAGAAGAGGCATCAAATTTTTCCTCTTCTTTTTTTTACCTAAAGAAAAGAAAAATATTTGGAATACATTTTGCTGTTGACTTAACCTGTAGCCCCGTATGTAGAGATTAAAATATTTTTCCAAGCCATACAATTAGAGTATTTTAGCATGTTTTCTTCTTTACTTATCATTTAATTTCATACTGAATATCCTCAAACCAGCCTAATTCAAAAATTAAATTATTTGGTCAAAATATCAGTGCAGTCCATATCCAAACTTTTCTTCTCATAGAAAGAGAGGTAGTGAAAACTACTAGACTTTCTTTTTGTAACTCTCAGAAATGTCAGGAGCATGCAGTAAATTGTTCTTAATTGTGAATTTAGCAGAGCAAGAATTTTTGCAATCTTTCACTGTTCCCTCAGTTCTGGTTTTTTTTTTTTTTTGCCTGAAATTCATTAGAGATTAGTATTTGGAATCATTTTTATTTGGGAGTAAGAAGGCTTTTAGCACTCAACTTTTTTCTCTTCTTTTTTTTATGGGGAGGTAGGGCAGGTTGTAACGGACCTGCAAAAAAAGTGAGTTGAAACTCTATCAAGAAAAATGCATTTTGTGTTTTATAGAGATGAAATTTCTAATTTGTGATGAAATGGCGTGTTGCATTTTCACTTTTTGTTCTACTAAAATGTTGTAGTGTGCTGCTCCTCTTGCATTGAGCCAAAGAAATTTAAGTATTTCATTAGCATTTATTTTGACTAATTTGAGTATTGTGTTCTGTGTGAGTAATTTCTGTCGTAAATACTTTATTTGCGATCAGAATAACATTGCAATTTTTAACTACCTCTTTAACAAAAAACAAATTTTGTTTGTTGCAAGTCTAATATTTCGCTTTTGTGCCATGATTTTAATTTGTATTATAATTTGAATTCTCATAATTCTATCCCATATTTTTTTCCCCCTCGTCTTGCCCATCCTATGGATGTTGGTCTCAATTGAAACCGTTTGGTTTTCCGAGTACTAAGATAGAACTAAATTCTCATGTTCTCACGAAATCTTGAAATCACACCTGAATCGACACTTAAAAATACACTGATTTGTCAATGTTCTTCCTGATAAAATTTTTAAAGATTATTTTTTTTCATTTACTCTAAATTAACCACCTTTTTCTGATATCATGAGAAAAGGTGCAAATAATTGGTAGACTTGAAAATTTTCTAAAGCCTGGAATTCCTTGTACATTTCTGAAAGTTATAAATTTTCGTTCATCCTAAAAAATAATGAAAATGTGACTGAAAATTTTTCATTTTAAGTAGTGTCATCAAAGAAAGGAAAAATGGTTGAGTTGTCTTTTTTTGAACAGATGATAAGTTTGTTTTTCGTGGAATGTTGTACGTAGATTTAGTTGTCAGAAGAATAGAAAAACATGATTAGGTTGGTTCATTCACTCATCTGATTTGAGAGGAGAGACGAAAAACTGAAGTAAGGAGATGCAATCATATTCAGATATGAGTCGGAAACTTCTGATAATGATTGAATAAATCATCTCCATGCTGGGATCTACATGATCAATACCCTTCCTTTTGGTGATCCGTATATTACTCTGAATAAAAAATCGTACAATCTTCTTTAAACAAAATATTAGTTCAGTATTAAATTTACAGAAGAGGGTTTTCCTAGTTTTGTCAAGACCAAAAATACAGCCGGCTCATTTTTCTCAATTTATTTATTTTATTTTTCTAAATTTCTCCTCTTCATTTTTTTGAAAAATTTTATTCCCTATTTTTTTTCTTTTTCATATTGCTCAATTAATTCCAATCGTGATGGAACAAAGTAAGTATATTTGATTTGCATTTATGAAATGTATTTAGCCTGTTTTCTGTAGAATGAACAAGTTGGAAGATAAAGTTAATTGCAAGTCATTCCTCTTTTCTTCAACCAAAGTAGAATGTAGTTTATTTTTCAATGTATTTCTCTTTTCAGGATGCTGTCATCAGCGAGTTGAAGAGTAAGGCAAAACTCGTCCAAGAGAAGCGACTTTTGCAGCAAGATGAGGTGTACAATGGTGCTCTTGAGGATATTTTACTGGGTTTGCGAAGTGAGCCCTATCGTCGTGCAGATGCTGTACGTCGCAGTCAGAGAAGGCGAATTGACAGCAATCGGCTATCAAGAAATCTTGAGGACCTGGAAGTCTAGCTCTAAAGTAAGCAATTATTCTATGTTTTAATTTGTTATTTGTGACAAGATTTGCATAAAAGGGCCTTATCTTCCAAAATTACAAAATCTAGTCATTTATAGTACTACATGAAGAATGTAAAAATTTACAATTTTAGCTAAATCGGTCACAATATTTTCAACTTTTTGGACTTGAAAATGTTCTCTTGGAAGTTAAGGTCTTGAGGGGTCCGCTCTTATATGAGGTTCTTTATGACCAAACGGCATATGGCAGAAATATCAGATTCGAAAATATTGCATTGAAGTTTGTATGCATGTTTAATGCCTGAGTGCATTACATGAAGGACTCTTAAAACTTTTTTCCTAACCCGGTGTGTCCGAGTTGGCTGCAAACTATCTAAGAAAGAAATAAAAAATATTATTTTTTGTGTGTAGTAAATAATTTTTAAGGATTCCTCATACGTGCACTGTTATTTTCTGTTAGCTTCTTCTGTTTTTGGCTGAAAAAGAGCATGCCTGTGAAAGAAAAGCTGCAAAAAATTCCACTTTAAGTCGATGTAGAAAAATAGTGTAATGAAAAGCAAAGAAATGGAAGTTTTCTAGACACTTCAAAATAAATTGTGGTAATGAAAACAATTTGAGACTGAATGAAAGAAAATCATATCGAGTAGGAATTAGAACAAGTCCATCTTGGGTGAACACATTTGCTCAGCAAAGTAGGACCATGCACAGCCAGTAGACAAGACAAGCCAGTAGACACTAGCAAGTAAACACTTTCCCTCGCTACACTGTGCACAAATTTCCATTTTTGCAAACTGAAGTTGATCAGTTGCCAGGTCACCTGCCCTGCCTTTCTCCATCTGATATAATACGATACAACAGAAGAGGGTTTGGCAGCTTACAGCTGTAGATCAACGTAACTACATAATGAGAAGTGAAAGTGTCTTATGATGTAAGCAACCTTCTTCTGTAACAATGCATTCACAAATGTTCTGGGTTTGGTAACAAGTTGACAGAAAGCAACAACAATGTAGATTTTTCTTCAAATAAGTTCACTCATGGAAATTCCGCCCCCCCCCCTTCTTCCCTTAAACGCAAGCCGATCACCAAATTATGCCTATGGTTGTAGAACATGAAATAAAGCAAAAATGCATTGTGTCACCTGATATGACACAATATCAACTTGATTCCCAATCGTATGTAGACATCGATGGCTGTGCAAAACCGCACATCTCCGCTTGCAGTGTTGCAGACTTCCTGTCATACTTTATTTTTTCCTGAAAAAGTAGTAGATGTAATCTCTGGTAAACCGTCTTGACTTTTCCTCTCTATTCTCCGTAAAAATTTAAAACTATACAGTTGGCTTTTTTCTCTTTGAAAAAATCAATAAAAGCGGGCATTTTGAAACACTGCAATGGAGGTAAGTTTTTTCGCACTTTGTCATTAACAGGCTATTTGATCCGTGAAGCAAGATAGTTCAATGTTCAAGCATCAAGAAAAAATCATATCTTCTGATCCCTCTGGGATATTTCCATGAAATTCAAATGAATCTTAAATAAAGAACCTGAGTAATCATTCACCATCAAACGAGTGAAATTAAAATTTGTAAACTATTCTCGATTTTTTATTGCATTGTGATACTAACTTTTTTGGTTTTTGCTTGTTTACAGTGTGCATCCAAATTTTCTGCGATAGAGTTTGTTGGGAATCGGCAAATCTCTTCAGTGACAAAGTTTAAAGTTTAGCTTGTATGAAGATTGATTCTTCATCACTCTGCTCGTATAACTCTTCTATTAAATTACCCACTGACGAGGAACATTCATTGCCAACTAGGGAAGTGAAGATTATCTTGAAATTTTTTTAAATCTATTGATTTTACCATGGTACCTGTCCATCTCGCTTTCTCCACAGCCATATGTTACCCTTTTGTTAATTTTCCTTACTTTTGGCTTTTCCTGACGTCCCTTCATCATTGGGCTAAGTTACATCTACCAATCTTTTTTGGAGGGAAACAATTATTGTTTCCATTCAAAAACTAACTCAGTATTTTGATATCCAACCATACAATTTCTTGCTGTATGACATCTTGTCTTTGAAACATATATCAATAATTTCTAATATTCTCTCCTCATCCTGCACAATCTAAGCGAGGATGGATATTTCAGTCGCACATTATTTTGTGTTGCTACATTATCACCAATAGCATCTGAGCCGCACTATTTTTACTATTTTTTTTACCTCTGAGCTTCCTAACTTAAAAACTGTTCTTGTCTAACTTTTAAGAATTAATTTTTGTAAGTTTCACAATATTTTTATCACCTTTTTTCCAACAGCCTTACCTACAAGAATATTTAAATGAGTGTGGTGGCCTAGTAAATTTAGTTCCGATTTTTTTGCCATGTGCATTCGTATAATTTTACATATAAACCAAGTCATGAACACTCCTCAGTAGAACTAATCAGAATGTAGAGTCAGACATAATTTTATCCAGCATCTATTAATTGTATCATGTCACCTCATAAACAATTACTCTCCTTTTTGTTGGTCATCATACCATCCTACGCAAATAATTTGTTCAGTGCATTGGTGAAAAAATCCAAATTTAACGAAAACAACTGGTGCTTTCAAAGTGCAAAGTATCTCTTTGTCTTCATACGAATTTTTACAAGTGTTCATTCAATATATCATTTCTACTATCATCATATCATAACTATTAAGTAATTCAGGAATTCTAAATTATTATAGGGAGACCTTGAAGTATAATTTTACTCTCAGTTCCGCCTTTACATATTCATTGAGAATATGCATGTGAAGTATAAGGTCTCTTGTGTAGCTTATGAATCTCATATTGACCATTGTATTGGTTCTTTATAAATTTTCTGTAGCAAAGAAACTGCATGACATCAATAATTCATCCTACTATGTTTTACTTTTTCATCTTTAAGTTGTTTGGTTTACTAAAGCTCAGTGCCTTTAGTGACTTTGTGATTGTTTTTAATTATTTATTTATTTATTATTTATCTACTAATTTATCAATATTTGTTTGAAAAATCATTGATGTTCTCTATATTTGGTTTAGAAGAAGGTTGCTTGATTTTTTGCTTTGAAAATGTAAATTTGGCGAAAACCACAAAGCACTTGTCTGAGAGCATCACCTCATTCCCTGAATTACCTAATTTTAACATAGTGCTTTGTCATTGCATCTTGGTTATTTGTTACTTCAGAGCTTTTCCAAAGTGCCTTTACCTGTCCCAAAAATGTAATTTTTTGAAACTCAATTCTCATTACTTTTAACAATTGGCTAGCAGCCTTCAAATCAAGACGACACTCATTTAGTGGACCAAAAATTAATTTCTTTGTATTTATGCATTGTTTAATATCAAAAGTTTGTCGCCGAACGATTTTCAAGTTTCTCTCACTAATTTATTAGCACATCATAAACCGCAGCTAATATTGTTTGCAATTTTGTCAATTCAAAATCCATTATAAATCTCTATTTTCATTTGCAGAGTGGTGAAAGACTGTAGCACACAAATTCAGCCTTACATTTTTTCTTCTTTTTGTTATGAATAAATTTTAACTCATGCTTACTCTCAGATAATCTTCAGTGTTCATCAGTCTAAATTTTGTTCATTTTTTCAAAACTGATTTTTTGACAATCCATTTTCATAAATATCACATCAATAATCTCATAATTGTAAGAAGTCAATGAAACTTGTAGACTGCATCTTGCCTTTAACATTAGTAGCCATAAAGCCTCAAGCCTTCGAGCACAAATCATTCAAAACACAGATATTTTTATTTAATTTTCTAACTATTCTCTGCACTGTAATGGGCGCTCTTTCAAAATTTGCATGTCTAATTATAATCATCAAATGTTGTATTTTAATAGATTTTTACTGAGTTGGAATTTTTTCTTTGTTAAGTGTTAAATAATCTGAAATTAATTCCAAGAGCCCTCTTGCACTCATTCATCAAAATGAAACTGTTTCCTTCCCATATTTGCTTTTTACTCAATTCTCTTAAAGTAAATTGAACTACATTTTTCATTCAGAACTAGAATTTCTGGCTCATCTGTGAAAACACTTATGCGCATAAGGAAACTAATGACACATCCGTTGTTTCTAAACTGAGCCTAAAATTGTAGTTCCTAATTGCACAATGCAGTCCAATTGAACATGCTTGTCCAAGAAATACATGTGATAAATACAGTTTTCACATTATCATTGAAGTTCTGACAAGACGTATCAAAGTTTGTATGCCTTGCCTTTTTTACATCTAGTGGAGCCTATGCAATGCACCTGTCAAAGAAAATTTTCAGGACTTTCTGTGTCAATTATCATTATTTTTCCTCTTCTCTGTTTCTTCCTTCTATTTTTGTTCCTTCTGAACATTAGCCTTTAGAATGATTGATTTCCAACTTGGTGACGTCCTGTGAGCACCAATATCTTGTTTAACCCGCAGTAAAGATGTATCTTTTGCTCAATCTTTTCATTTTATATCACAAGAAAAACATGTCATATCAGTAACAATTTTATCTCTACTCATTTACCGCTTTATTCTTAACTCCCTCCACATATATTTTTCCATCAATTCATTTCTTTCTTATATTGACTCATGGTTTTTCGACTAAGGACCCAAAGTTTGTTGACTCGTAATATTTCATAATCATGTTTACTAAATTAGACTGCTCTGTAATGATTAAGTCTACTTTAGATGTTTTTATTTTTTCGTTTCCTATGTACAGTAGAATGTAAAAATAGCTGTTTGTATGATTTTGTTTTGTACATTTATAAATACTTTTGTAAGACTGTTGAATTAAATTGTAGACATGCCTCTAAAAATGTTGGATTGCCTTCTTTTGTGAGAAATATATCCTCCCTCATCCTTCTCATATCTCAGCCCTCAGAAAAGCTGTCAGTAAAATGGGTCGAGTTTATGACAGAAAAACCAAGTCACTGTTCTAAAAAGAAGGGCCATGAGTAATTTTACTTTCAAGAAAATTTCTTTCTACTGCCAAAACATCAAAATCCGTAGATAATTTGTAGTTTTTCACAAGCGGACTCCAAGTTCATTGATTACATTGAGTGATATGGAAGAAGAAAATTTCTCTCATCTTTTCCTCTGTAATGTGACTAAATTTAATTAATGTAACTTGGTTCTTCTTTGTTAAATTCAGTCAAAAATATTGATCATATATTTGATCTTTGGTATTAAGCCCTCTAAGACCTTTTTTACACTTGGTTAGAGAAAGCCTGTAAATTTAAAAAAAAAAGAGGTTCTCGATTCTTTCCTCATGGCACAATCATGTGTGCTAAATTATTTAAAAACAAATTAGTTTTATACACCATCTTTAATGCTAAATAGCATTTATCAAAAGAAAAGGTCATTATTTTAGGTCAGCATTCAAAGAACTGTGAATGATCGAAAGTACTTGTCCTCTCCTAATGACTTCTAATGACTATTAATGAATGGAAACTCCTCAAGTGGTGTAGACAGGAAAATAATGAAAGATTTGTCAGATGTAATTTTGAAACACTGTTATATTTTACACAGTACAGACAGTTCAAGAAGAGGTGAGACAAAAATAAATATACAAAAAGAAAACACATTGTAACAATTAACTGGTCTTGGACAAATTATTGAAAATAAGAAAAAAAAATCATAAAAATATTGACAACTAAACTTAAATTGCTAATTTACTAAAAGGTCAGATCATGTTAATAAAGTTGAATAGATTAGAGACTATGAAAATAACAATTAACTAAAATATTTACACCAAAAAAATATACATTATGCATTCATTTTTCACAAAAAAAAGAAAGAAAAAAAATCTTATAAAATACAATCCATTCGAACACTGTGAATTGTTGAACTCTGTAAGGGCATTTTTATGACTGAAAAAAGGATGTTAATATTTCCAATTTAGAATTTTTTCATGTACAAATCTTCATTTCATGAACTAATAGAAGAAAATAAATTATTTACAATTTGAAAGGAAACAACAATTTAAACTAATTTTTGCAGAAAATTAAACATAACTTCTCAATTTAAAGGAACAATAATAATGCTAGACGCATAATTCATCATTAAGTAAATCCAAGCACTTTCTAGAAAAATCGAACATTTAAATAATTAAACAATTCTCGCCAGGATTTAATCAGAGCTTTTAAACAAACAAATTCTTAGATGGCTCTTCCTATTGATTTCAAGGGTCTTAGGCCAGCGTAACAGTGTTTAAGTCGGAGACTAAGTAAGAAAATATAAAATATTCCAGAAATGAAAGTCTCAATGAACGAAAACAGAAAATGAGCATGCTGCACCTACTCCAGGTTGGTCCTCAATAATGTCCATGCTTGCTCTCTTTCAAATCCAAAATTTGTTTTCTTTTACAAGGAAGTTATTCTGTTTTCTGAACATTTCGATTTTCTTAAATTAGTTCGCTCTCTCATTCGATAATTCAATTCATGGTTAAACTGACCCATCCAAACTGGCAGTTAAATAAATTCATAGTATTAAGAAAAGTGTAAGAAAATTATGCCTACAATTTATGTTAAATCGGAATCTCTAACTTGAAATACAATATCGATTCATTGGAGAAAACTGGCAGGTAAAAGTAAAAAATCGAACTGAGAGAAGTATTCATTAATAGAACGAGGAGAAAATAATTTTAAAACTACGTGTTGGTAGGAGCATGGTGGTAAAGAGGAAATAATGTTATAATATTCAGCTACTTGTTTGTAGAAGCTTGATAATGATAACCTTTTATTCACAACTCAGGAATAGCGAGCATACTCACCAAAAGAAAAACTATTTTTCTTTGATAAATAAATTCTTTGGTTCTAAATCTTTCAAAAGTGTGAAACAACCCTGATAAAAAAATTTTCAGTGAATATTGAACATTTTAATAGAAATGTTCAACCTTACCCTGGCAAAAATTGTTCAACCTGAATTTTCCCCAAAAGTTGCAATGGTAGCAACAAAATAAGAAAATGAGCAAACCGAAGCTTTCAATAAATTACTCTGATTACAAATTTTATGATAACAAGGATTCAAAATAATTTCTGTGATCATCTCCCCAAATTCTCAAGTTAGAACACTGGCTTGCAAGAGACCGCCAATATTCTTGATCTGGCTCTGAGAGAGGTTAGAATATGCTTGCATTGAAAATGATGAGGAAAGAATTGAGAGAAGCTAAATTTTGGATTTTGAAAAGCTGGACCGACTTAGATGAATAAAAATAATTTTCTCCATGCGTAACCAAATCCAATTCCGAACGATCTTAGGGAGAATTAGAGCATGATGATACCTTTCAATTTTTACAATTAAAATATTCACTACCTACAGGTTTCACAAAAACAGATCTTTGCATCATGAAATGGTAAATAATTTGACAAGGATTCTTTCCTCCCCTCTCGATGGTCAAAGCATTAAAGCAGCACGAACATTTATACACTTGAATTTGAGGAAATGAGCTGCATAATCAATATTAAGCGTAAAAATTACAAGACTGTAGAGCCTACAAGAATAGAAATAACCTTTGCAGCCTTGTAATGAACAAATACGTCCACAATGATGGATTTCAATGTTAAACATTAAGTATGGTTAAAACAGGAATGCAAAGAAGGGACACAGGAGTGAATGATAAAGAGGCCTTAGAAAATTTTTCCTTGAGCCATCGAAACAAATTGCAACAAAACTAAAGTTTCAGAAATTTATTCAAAGAGGTCAGATTTATAGAGGTCCAGCTAAGATGGCTCCAGATCTAGCAACCTACGACTGGTCATTTTACATAAGTATAAAGAAAAAGTTTTTTATGTAGTTCATTACTTTCATTTAATTCAAGCAGTTTATTGCCAGCATTTGAGAAATTCAGGAACGAAGTTGTGTTTGAATCAAATTAGAACACATACAAGATCTTTGAGTCGGAGAAGTCACAATTTTAGAAAGTAATGAATTCAAATTTTTCTTAACTGGTTTTTGAATGTGATAAGGTGTGATGCTGCCAAAATAATTATTTTGAGAATACTTGACTTTGAAAAGCAGGTGTAACATGAGCTGGCGCAGTTGAAGTAACACCATGGGCTGATTACGACTGTTCAATCACTGTACAACTCAAAAGGCCATTGCAAAAACTAGCCATAGATGTAGCTCCAGAGTGGTGACGCTTAAACTACTTGGTGTAATACAACAGAAGTGCTTCGCTCAAATACGCAGATACCAGTTCAGCAAATGCTTCAAACAAAGGCTACACTCTCCATTATACAATTCTAAAACTGCTGCTATTAAGCCTGAACTCTGTCCATTCTTTAGAGCATTTGATTCAATCTATGCACGCAATAAACATTAACCAAGTTCTCTCTGATAATCCTGAGAGGCGCAGTTTCAGAGCAAGCTGTAGCATTTTTCATCACCAGCTTACACCCTGAAGATGCCAGTAAATTATTTTTTATGTCTTTACATAACACTCTATGAATGCAGTTTAGATCACAAAGTATGCAGCATACACACTGACACCATGACTGCAGTTTGCACGCTGAACATTTCAATTGATTTCTCTAGGAACCTTTGAGGTACAACGCTTCCTTCTGTTCTTGGAGATATTTTTCACAGAAAAATTGGGACCTAATGGGAAAAGACATTTCATCGTCGAGTAAAACAGATTCAACCGTTTCTCTCTATTTCACTGATAGATTGTGAGAATTCAAGTGACCCAGTGTCATATCTAGCAGGGACAAAATAAAAAGGAAAGATATTTTTTTCTTCAAAATAATATTGATTGATAGCCTTAATAATCTGCGCCAGTTCAAAGTATTCCCTCAAAATTGAGAAAATTAAAGAAAACATACAGATTCTCAAATGGTCCTTTCACTTTTCCCTTTTTTCAAGTTATTTGAGTAAAACAAAAGGTAAGCTAAAAGCTGTGTGAACTTGCAGTTTAAGAAATGGGTTCAACCGCATGAGTTTAGGAGAGGTCAACCCACCTCCAATTTACATTTGAAAATCAAGAATATCTATTTATTGACCAGAACTGTTTCCTTGTTAATTTCCGATTAAATATTTACTAATATTTTACTTTTAATTTGCTTAAAATTGAAACAGGAAGAGAAACTGCTTTCTTTCCAGCTATAAATGTGAGATTGGCAACAAATTTTTCAGGAAAGACAGCTTCAAATGTTTACAAACATGCTTATGCTCTACACAATTCGTATTTGTTTCATATTCAGCTGCGACACTTTAGCACCCGCTCACTTTGAAATTGACAAATGGTGGATTTGCAGAAGTTGAAATACAAGAAAAATGACAGAAGAAATTTGAATTGTTCACAACAGTTTTTTATTCAGAACAATGGGGTTCCAACATGAACGTCATAAGATTAAAGGAGGTGCACAAAAACTATAAGGTCCAAAGGAAAATGGAACATTTGCTACAATCTTACATGCCTCTCAAAATACAAATTGGCTTTCAAATTGAACGAGAGGACTTGAATTTAATGAAACTAAAAGAAACTTGTGAGGTTTCTTCATGCATTTTAATACCTTTCGGTTGGTAAACCATTTCACTAAGTCATACAGATTATCTAGAAAATTCACACACCACTAACAGTCAATACCTAATAAATATCATTAAATAATTAATTGCACATTTTGGAGAGCAATACTCGCTAATTAGTAATTAGTAACAAAAGATGAAGAGTAACATTAACCCTCTAATCCTAGTTTTCAAATAGATCTGCTTTGATTTGTTTAGGTAGATTTTTAAGTATTAAGTAGGGTGGTACTTTTCATTTAATGTGGTTTCAAAGAGTAGATACTTGTCTTACAGATACTGTCGTGATATTTTTTTTTTTAAAAAAAAAAGCTAAAAACCGAGTGCACGACACAAAATGAAGGGGGAAAAAAAGGATTCACAAAATATGAGGAGTGACCATAAACCTTCATTTTTTAAGACAAACATACAAAGGCTCATGAACTTTTAAAATTTTCGGGCTACAAAAAAAAGGAGGAAAAAAAAACAGGTTGGTAAGTAAAAACTAAGTAAAAAATGAATATAGTAAAAAGTAAAGTTATTTTAAAGGACAAACAAATGTACAATCAGTTGAAATTTAACATGAATCGCAGCTCATTTAGTAGGTAATATTTGAATTACACACTACACATACCAATCTAACAATTTATGCTACATTTCAAATATCACAGCCTAAGTTTGAAGAAAGAAAATAATCAATAAATAAAACTTAACAAATTAGAATAATTGATCAATCATAACATTTGCATTAAAACATTATCAAATGGAAACTTTTTTCCTCGTCATTTTCATTCTTTTTCACTCATTTTTAGTCCTGGTAATTTTGACGATTTTTCAAGAGCGGGATTAATAGAAATAGAGTCAGAAGTTTATTAGATGCCACAAGCACTTCACTAGTTTTCTTGAATCCTCATTTTCAGGGATTAAGGGGGGGGGGGTGGAACAAGTGTCTACTTTTTGGGTTTCCTGAAGCCTACTTTTCACTCTAAATGAATAATAGAAGAGGCTGCCGAAACACTACAAAAAAATATTTTGTGACCTGTATTGAAATCAAATTCTGCGTTTAGTGCGCTTGACAGGAACTGATGAAACTGCATTACTTACTAGAAAGGCAATTTTTCGCATTCATGTCAATTTACTGTCAATTTACTTCAACAAAAGTGCATTTTTTTACATGTTCTGACAACCACCTGCGATTGTTTTCTTTGCCACAAGTTTAACTAATTTAACGTTTTATCATCACCGTAAAAATATTGAGCACTTTTCTTTTGAGTCGGATGGAATCTTTGCTTCCCCTTGAGAAAACTTAATGTCAATACTTTTGCTGTTGGAGAAAATATGATATTGAAGCATGGCAGAGTTTTGTACATTTTTAGATCTTCTGGGGAATGAAAATGGACCGATGCCTTTTAAATTATTGCACAGATTTTTTGACAGGACATAACAAGACATAGTTTTTCAAGCAGAAAGAGGGGTGGGGGAGGGGGGTGACTTCTTAGACTTTGCGAGGTATAGCCTGAGATGACTTCATATTACTGAAATAGATACACACCAACACATATACATTTTTTGTATCAGACGAGAAAAAATTTAAACTCTTTCAGAATAAAGAAAAGCATGAAAATGATAGGTGATAAATCGATTAAGCTCCTGCACAGCAAGCAAAAGAAGTCAAAGAATTAAGACATAATTTCCCTGTTTTTTCATGACTGGATGATGGAAATAAAAATCTAGGCCTCACACAGAATGAAAATTTCTCCAAAAATGAAAAAAAAAAAAAAATCGATAATTTGTTTATAACTTAATGAGGAACATAAGTTTCCATTTGAATTACAACAATTCATAAACTAAAAACATATTTTTCCTTGCAAAAATTACTGCCAACAAATATGCAATTAGTTCTTTAAAAAAAAGAGAAAAAAAGAAAGAAAAAATTATCATAAAATAAGATATTGAAAGTAAAAAATAAACAAATTTACAAATCTGGACATGAAACAGTGCCAATGGTAAATTAGGTAGATGAGAAGTATATTTTCTTCCTTTTTTTGCACATTCAATTAAAGTTATTTTCTAAGAATTTATTATTTAAGGCTTGGAGGACTGATTTTTTTAAACAGGGCAATGATAGAGCTCCTTATGCATAAGTAAATTCAGATGAAGATACAAATAATTATGGAAAAAAATTGCAGTTTTTAAAATAAATTTAGCTTATTAGTGAAATTTGTTAAAGAAAAACGTTCAACCAACAAACCTACAAAAATTCATTAAGACTAAGAAAATGTTTTGAATTTTTTCTGAGTATCTAAGACTTTTTTGTAGAACAATAGTTTTAATTGTACTTAAACAGCAAACGTTAATCATGGTTTAAAACGTTCAATGGCTTCTTGAAAAAGAGAAAAAAGTCTAGAAGGGGAGAAAAGCGTTGAAAATTGAAAACATGACTTTACAAGGGGAATGAAATAAAAATAAAAAAAAGAAGTTCTTTTACCCGACAGGTACTCTCCAATGAGCCTCTTTGGTGGGGTTAACTCACTCACAAAGAGGAACACCTCATTCTCAAAAATCAGTTCCCTCAAACGAAGCCTGTACATTTTTTTTAAGATCACTGTTTACATTCACAAAACTATTCACAAAGGCCTATATAAATGTATTTATAAAGTAAAGTACAAGCTGATACACATATGAACATGTATATCATAACACAAAATTATTACTATTATTACAATATTACTGCCATACATTCATTTTTAATTTTAAGGGTACAATCAATGATTTACTTGAAAATAAATTTCAGAATAGTTACAATTAAATTAAAAATAAAAAGAAAATATTATGAACGAGAATAATAGCAGTGATAGTTAAAATCTTCCTAGTAAGTGGGACAAAAATTAAGAGTAAGTTTGAAAAGAAGTGAAAAAAGGAAAAAGAGCAAATAAAACAAGGCTCTATCCTTGTATTAAGACCTATTCTGCCGTGCTAAAAAAAATGATGTGTATACATTTGGATGTTGCTGAATCTCCTCTAATGAAACAATATTTATTAAGAGAACTTTTGAATACTACTCATTCAAATTATCACATGATCGAATTGAGATTTGAAGAAACATATTCACAAGTTTTCATGAAAATTGGTGTTTCATCAAAGAAAATTTGTAAACATCCAAAAGTTCATGCGGCGTTTATCCTCGGCAAGGCAGTATTTTATAGTGGTTTATCACTAACTTGAATGTTCAGATTCTGTTAGTAACTTGAGTATTGATTGCTATCTTGGTTATGAATCAATGTTCCTGACCTTTCAGTATATTCACAAAATAGTCCTTAATAAAAAAAACTGAAATCAGGCAGTTCTGAAAGTATATTTCCAGAATTCAGATACTGCAAAGGTTCAAAGCTTTTTTCATCAATCATGTTCGAGGGGACTCACTTGCCTCACAATAAGATATATTAAAGAGAGGAAGTAAATTTATTTAAATAACATCACAAGGAAACTGACCGATTCACATTTTTTAGATCTGCGAGAGTGTGATGATGTTAAAACTAAGTTAAATTATTGATATAACGTATGACTGCTTATCTTTTTGTCCCATTTTATTGAAAGGGACATAAACCATACTTGCTCCACGATGAAATGCATCCCTACTGTACTGAACAAAACATCTTACATGTAAATAGTCTAATGTGCAAGACATAAGATTTTTCTTTGACACTGAAATGCATTGTAAAATATAACATTAAAAAAATTGTCGCAAAATGTACGGAAAGTGCGATTCACGCAAACTCATACTACATGGAACAAAACTGGGTGACGCTGGTGCTTTGCTTTCAAAGGCAAAACAAACCAAAATAAAATGATACGAGAAGATTCTATTCTAGGATTTTTTTAAAAGGTATTACATTAAGGTACCAGCAATTGTCAGCTCACAATTTTTCTTCATTTTTCTACTACAATTCCACTCTTTGAAGGCTACTTTTATGAAAACAACTAAAGAGGCTTTCGAATTATCTTATAAATCCCACTTCAAAAACTTAAGAGAGAAATTAATCTTGTACAAAATGAAACGACACTGGAAGGATGGTCAGTTATACATTTTTTATGGAGGTCTAGAACTAGAATTTCACTAGTATGAGGACTACCAAAAAGTTTCGATATGATGTCTTAATCTCTGAAGTTCATTTAAGAAAATCTAAAATGTAGATCTATACAGATGTTTTGAGTATTGGAAAAAAAATAATTAAAAATAAATAAATAAATAAAAAAAATAGTAAAAATTGATGGGAAAAAAGTTTTCAACAAGCATTTCAAAGCAGAGCAGCTATGGGAAGCGACATAAATAAAAATTAAGAGAGTGAGAGTGATACTAAGGCTGAGCTCTAAACTCACGGTCGGTCCTCAGACAGCTCCTTTCTTCAGATATTCCCCACATGGTTTCTAGTAGACTAAGGGAGCTTTGAGGAGGTCTTTACTAAGGCATCATAAAAAGGACAATTTTTACATGCCTTGAGTGAAATTCCAGAATATAACTTTAGAAATGGATCCTAGCGAGAGATTAGGACAATTTAACACAACACAAATACAGCAAGTTTTGCAAATTTTAAGGTAGATCAGTGCCTACCTTCGAGTTTGTCAATATCATAAAATTTATTCTTCCGTATATTGCACCATTTGCAGTGGCCAATCATTATAGCCCATGCAAGGGCTGCAATTTTCTAAGTTATACTCCTAAATTTTACTCAAAGCTGACCAAAATTTTCCTTTTTGTGATGTTATGTATGTTGAAGGCTACCTTGAATTTCCCCTAGTCGTAATGGGAACTACATGAGGCTTCCCTAAGGAAAGAGATTTTTGAGAAACGACTATGAATACAACCTTGAGCATGGATTTGATGTATGTAGTAGAAACAGGAACATAGTGTAAAATCAAGTGAGTCCCTAAAAGTCATGCACATCAAAACATTGACCTTTGACAGATTTGAAGTGAAGTTAAAGGCTTTCCAAGACCATACCGAGTCACTGAAGGACTAGAGTCCTTGTCCTTCAAAAAAAGATCAAGAAATTCATATTAGAAGAATTCACAGCAAGTAATAATAGTAATAATGAGGCGAATCACATAATTTGAAAAAATAAAAATCTCTTCATATTTGAAATATCTCACCAGAAATTTTAGAAGATGACGAGAAAACTGGCGATTAATTTTACTTCCTCTCAAGTAAAACAATAATGTGGTGACACAGCGAGTTACTTAACCTTTCTTATAGGTATGTGGAAGGTTTAATCATGATTTAAGGAGGTAATGTTAATATATTAAATAGTACACATAAATACGAGAGCATGCATACAATTACGAACAGTTAAGAAAGTAAGCATCAATATACGTGTGTATGATACACCTTACTAGAACTTGCATAATGTAAGTTAAGTTGGTAGTTGTTTACTTTTGACTAATGTCTTATAGAGTAGACCAATTTAAGTTTCTGCGCACAGCAGCGGTGTTGACCATGGTCAATCCTCAATGCCTATCAGACGACTGCAAAGCAGTCAGTTGCAAACAGAAAGTCAACAACTGCAAACTTATCTGGCGCAAGTTCTAACTTCATCACCAAGAGCCAGTCAAGAATCCAAAACAGGTAGTTATAACTCCCAAATTAAATGTATTTTCTAAGAAAAATATTAACACTTAATGACTTGGCAAATAATTTTAATAAAGTGATTATTCTCTAACTTTTTAATAAAAGCGAATGACACATAAATTTACGAAAGCGTTATGCACATAATAAGTACATTATTTCATGAACATAACATAAACGCCATCTTAAATTTAGTTTAAGTAAGTGAGTAGGTAACTACCTTACCAAGAATGAATATTATGAAAAACGAATTCTCTTTTGAGGTCTCTACGGAGTTGGCAAAAAGTAGACAAATTATGCAGAGTCATAGTGAATGAATACATTAATGTCGGCAGAAAAGGGAGAGCTTTGGATGTGGGATTTTCTTATTTCTTATTTCAATGCTCTAATACTTAAAAAACTCTGAAAAACTTTTTTGAAAAATTATCATCTAACATTCCAAAAAGTTGAATTGGACTCAATCAAATTTTATCTTTCCAATTGTAAGTTTAAAAAAAAACCGATAATGAATCAAATCCAAAAATCAATTGTTGAGAAATGAATACCTAAGTCAGAAACGACTTATAATTGATGACCGGTTAAAAGCGTAAAACATCTAAACCTTAGTAAGAAGGTGGATAACTGCAGCTATTGGCTGAGGAGCTGATCAGATACTAGGGATATTAAACCTGTTTTCATATTTTACTAATTAAAGTACCTAACAAAATCATTATGTGCTTCTTATTATGCAACAAAAGAAGAAATAGTAAAGACAGGTAGATCTGAAGGCAATGTTTTTGACATTACGAGGGAGTGAGAAATTTTACAAAAACAGAAAAATTCATACATCATTATGAGATCAACATTGTGTTAAGGTAACAAAGAATATTGTAACAAATTTGTCATCACCGATATGATATTACAAGTTATAATTGTATGAGCATACCGTGAGCTCAGTAATGTGAGGATAAGTACTGAGCCACCTGCTGAGATAGATCAAATATGAAAAGTAACATGGAATTGAGGTAAGACTGTTTATGAAACAACATCCCAAATCTCCTCGAGGAAGGATGGCACCTTTCTATTCTTCAGCTTCAATGAGAAGCATGTTTCTGAATTCATATTCCCTAATGTTCGTAGTTCAGTTAAAACAGATAGTAACTTAGCAAAAATGGTTGTTGCATATGGTTTCCTTCGATTTTCAACATATGCTTTTAATGCTTCTATGTAAATTTCTTGAATCTTCTCAACCTTCCAGCCTTCACTTAGAGATGGTCGTTCTGAAAAACACAAACAAATTCATAAATTAAGAGGGAGACACATAATGACTTCAGCGCTAAAACACTTGGGGTACAGAATGTACAAAATAATTTAGACACAGTCCAAGGACGGAATTTGAGCAGCTGTGTCATTTGAGCCAAATCTGATAGAAATATGAGGGAGGGAGAAAGAAGGGGGGAAAAACTTCAACAAATTTTGAAAAATACCCTGCAATTGTTAAATATTGACTACAATTATCGAAGAGGCTCAAATTATAAAGCAGAAGGAGAGCGACCCCCCCCCCTTTTCTGCAAAAGCGACATCCCTGAACTTAATCCCTGCTCAAAAACACAGAATGATCAAAATGTATAACCACACATAGCATTAAATACAACAAACAGAGGAGGAAAAATTGAGAAGCTGAATCTTATCTTCAACGAGAAAGAATCAGCCAGCACAGTCTCCAGTTTGTCAAAAATTTGTCTTCCTTAATACTTTCATCAATTGTACTTCTGTGTACTTTATAAAATACCCTTTAAAACCTGAGTTCAACTTTTGAACTTCAGCTTTCAAACGTCCAACTGAGTTTCAAACTTTTTACTTTCATGTCTTCAATAGGGTGTGTTTCAAAGGGTGAGGGGTCAAATGATCGTCATGTACAAAATTTGAGCAGATACTAACCTGAAAAAATTACAATGGCAGTGAGAAGAGCATATTCTGCGTTATCGACTTTCATGGCACACATATGTCGACAAAATCGGAGCAGATCCTCCACAGTATCACCCATGCCAGCTACAGTGTATGATTCTCTCGTATACGGCTGGTTAGTTGCAAACAATATCGAATCTGTTTCAGCATCATACCTCCTTGCCATTCTAAACATCATTACTTCACTACTACATGCCTGAAATGAAAATGAAAAACAATGGTTATTCTTCATGACTTTAATTTTAGAGTAATACGCGACATTTTCGTGGCAACAGTAAAGGAAGAAAACCTTGTTAAAGATGTCGTTCAAAAACTGAATAGAGACTTCGAATAAAACACATAATTTTCTTAGAAATGGTGAGAGACACTTAGTCAGAAACGCCATCGGACATTATGGCACACTGTCTGTCTGCTAAAGCAACTGGCTGTTAATGTTAATGAGAGAACAACAATTTTCTTGCAGCGACAAAATTTTATATTGTTATAGCTAATAATTTTAATAAAAAGTCGGTTTATTCAGCACTGGTGAAGGATGAATTGGTCCTTTCAATTCGTGCTGAAACACCCTGTTAAGGGTTCCGAGTCTCACCTCCCTCAGGCAAAACTGCTCACTGAAGGGACTCGGTTAAGGAGAGGAGCTAAAGGCAGAAAAAAGTCCTCTTGTATTTTAGTATGAATAATTGAAGTTATATGGTAAGAAAGATGATAATTAAAATTACCTTTAATAAAGCTATTTGATCTTCACGAATTAGTTTGTCAAAACCAGGTAATCGCTTAGAAAATTCCACAATTAACTGTACAGTGAGAATTGTAATTTCTGTAATATGCCTAAACCTTTCTTCAGCTACATTTTCTTCTTCTGGTGCAGCATTCTGTAAAATTAAGAAACGAACACGCCAAAAAATAAGTTTATGCTCTTCATAACAGAATTTAAAACTAGTGTCGAATATTATGCTTCTAGGATAAAATTTAAAAATGCTAGCCAGTGCAAAAACAAAACTTGATCATTATAAATAGAGAAAGATATTGACTTACATTCCATTGAAAAAATAAAAATATGTCAAAATGAATAAGGAAATATTTGAGGTTTATTCAGAAATGTTTGTTGCATGATTTGTGATCCTTTTCTGGATAATTTCTAGATAAAATACATAATAAAAATAGATTCAAGTAACTACGACAAAAAACCAATCAAAGAGAGAGAGAAAACCCAGAATCCTAGGAGGACTCATATGGATGCTTAGGACCTTTAGTCATAAGACCTTTTCACTTTTTTCTGAGGGAAGTTGCGCAACAAAATAAAATCTTTAGACAAAATTGGTATTTCAACACAGCTAAATAACAATACAATATCTAGTTTCATGATTTTTTCTATAGTTTTCAGAGTCTGTAGAAAAATTAATCCTGCAGTCATAATGAAGCACATTTTTTTATTAGGACACCAAGTTTATTTACAGTTTATTTTTCAGTTAAACATCATGAACCTCAGGTATATTCTGAATTAGATGTATATTGATGCTACTTAAAAAATCATGCAACAGTACAATGAGGCAGTGCTACGGAATTTTTGAAGGATCGTCATATTATAATTTATTTTCGTAAAATGTGAAAGAACCAAAAACTTCATTACAAAGTTCAAGGAAATCATTTCTAAGGGGAGCAGAAGCTAAATCAAAATCCAGCCAATCACAGAGTTGATGTAGCAAGGTGATGCCTGAAGCTGAGCAAACACCGAATCCCCTGCCTGGCTATATCATGAGAGCCCACCCGTAAATGTTGCTTCAAAAGGCTCCCTTTCTCGGCTTTTGCAAAACAGGATTTCTTTGCTATGGGGGGTTTAAGAAATTCTAAAAAATTCCCGGTAGCTTTGATTCTCTCCGTACTTTCAGAAAATGAATTAAAGAAGAAAGTGCCACTGATAAGTTGTATTCATAATTCTAACAGGAGAAATGTTCATTTTATTGATACTTACAACTATCCTTTTGATATCCTCTGGGGATGGATGTTCATATTCATTTTGAAAATAAACTAGCCTATGGATGAGCTCTTCTTGCTCTGGAGTAATGGGTTTAACTCCATTTACAGACAATAGCTGCGAATCTGTATCCAGCTGTAACAAAAAAAATTCAAAGATTAATGGAAAAATACTGCATTTTTGTTTGAAAAGAATAGAAAACAAACACAAAGGAATCATATCTCTCGCGAGCTTCAAATTGCACAAAAAAGAGGAGGGGTAAATTGATAAAAAGTAAAATTAAAAAAATATTGAAAAACCCTTTTTTAAGGCGATATATGTGCATATATTATGAAAAACTTCCTCCTGATTGACCCTATTCTATCTCATGGACTGGGTCTCCCAAATGGAAATCCTGCCATCGATTCAGAACATTCAGAGCTAAGCAATGCAAGGATCAACTGAAACTCTTCAGCTGTAAGAAGAGAATATTGCAAGAATCAATGATGAATAAAGAATACAAAAAAGATTTAACTTTATCAGGAATTATAGAGGGGGTAAAATATGGGATTTGACTGATATTTGGCTTACAGAACAATGGAGCTTTTCCTGCATGGTAGGAATTACTCATGGGGTGTAGAAAGTTCTTAGCCTTACCAATTTCCGAACTGGCCTTTCCCGCTTTAAAAAATCCTTCGCCCCCAAAATTTTCGAAGCTTTATGACATTTGTCTTAATTCTCGTTCACAAATTGCCAAGATTTTGCGGAAAACACGCGAGTGTCATGGCAATTCTGCGAAAAACACGCAAATTTTACCGCAATTTCCGAAGAGACGAGCGATTTTGATGCTATTACGAGCTGGACCTCCCAATTTTCAGAGCCTTTTCATTTTTCTAGGCGAGCGATGACGCGATCATGATCGCGTAATCCGGAGGTTTCTGTGCCCCTGGAATTCCCCATAAAAAGAATCAAAGGTATGAAAGACTTACCCTTTGAGGATCTATCTCTTGTTTGATTCCATCTGGAGAACAACTCGTCGTTGAGTTAGGTTTATCTTTGTCCTTTTGCGCTTTTTTCTCTTTTCGCTTCACAGCACACTGGAATTCGGGAACTACACCTGTGAATTTGAAATAATATAATGAGACAAATTCATACCTACACAATCCATATTAGTCATGAAGGAGAGACTAAAAACATTCACAGACATTGCCGGAAAGGCACTGTTAAATTATGCCATTACTGTTAAGCAAGTTTGGTTATTTTTATGAATGAAAAAACAAACAAATAAGAATGCTCACTTTATCTTGATTATTTAAATGTTAGGTTTGATTCTTTTTAAATTTTGGCTTGTTCTTTTCGTTGAAAGTTTTCTGTGAAGATTTCCTACTGTAACTAGCTGTTTTACGTTAAGAACTCTTTAGGCGTCCTGCGTGAGTTTTACTTGGGACACTTAGTTTTGGTCAGATTCAATAAAAGTCACCCTGACCCTTCTTCTTTTAAAGTATCTGCAGGTAAGTTCTTTCAGAATCATAGAGAGAAGTCTCGGGAGTTTATGAGCCCACAAATTCGGGAAATATCAAGAAATGTGTGACAACGCTTCCAAATTTATTGGAATCATTGAGTGGACAGAACACCCTAAAATGTCAAAAAGTGATACTTTGAGAGCATCTCAAAGTTAGAAAGAGATAAACTAAGAGTTGAAAATAAAATAGATAAAGTTGGCTGGGCTGCTGTTGCCCGCTTTGGAAACGATTAGTTTAAAAACGCGTATAACATCATTGACGATGGAAATAATGATGTGAAATTTCGAGCCAGTCCCGATGAATTGCGATTACACGGTGAAATTATTGCTATTTCATCGGAGTGTTATGTATGATGCCTATCTACCGATGGAAGGAACACTTGTCACTGAAATGGATTGGCAATAAAATTGAAATAAGTTGCAATTTTTAACTGCATTACAAACTGCCTATCTCTCCGACACATGGAGCTCGTTTTGTTGATTGTTTTAAATCGCCATTTCTTCATTGGCGGATCCAGAAAATTGGCAAAATTGTTTTTTCTCCATTTAAACCTATGGAAATGTATCGATTCTTGAAGGGGTCAGGTGCTTCAACAAGACTCGATTATTTAACACAGGTTTAAACGTAGGAAATCCCGTGTTGCCGAATTTCTAGATCCGCCCCTGCATTTGTTGATCAAATGCTGTAAGAACATTGCAATTTTATGGTAAAACTTGCAACTTTATTGCAATATTTTTGTTGCATTGTGCTACTTGGATTGCATTTTGCAAAAAGGAACCACTACCATTGCAATGTTGCTAAGATTGTGCAACTTCTTTTGTCTTGGAGGAAAACCCCGATTATCCATTAATAGTTTCTATTTTACTCGCTAAAAACTGTAAATTTAAGACAAATTACCATCTAAATTTCATAGTTTTTCACGATTTCCGCAATTTTATTGCAAAAGATGAAGTTGCACAATCTTAGCATCATTGCAATGCTAGTGGTTCCTTTTTGCAAAAAGCAATCCACTTGTTCTTCTCCCCTTCAGGAGCCCTTCCGGCTAGCTCGATGAAACAGGTGAGCGTAATTTCGAATACTTACATTCTGGCCTCATGCCAACGCTGAGACACTTCTTGAGACGACACTCCTGGCATTTTCGCCTCATGTACATGTCGATTTCACAATTATTTCCATATTTACACTGGTAGACGGCATTCTTGGTGATGCTCCGACGGAAGAAGCCCTTGCAGCCTTCGCAGGTGAGGGCGTTGTAGTGGTAGCCGGAGGCGCGGTCCCCGCAGACGAGACACAGCTCCTCCTGCTGCCGACCCGTGCCTCCCTTCTTCTTCCGCGACGCATCGCAGCTATCCACGCTGTACCCGTTCAAACTATTCGCCGGCGAAAGCTCTTCTTTCCCTGAAATCACACCCAAAAACAAATCTGTTAGCAACCATGCTCGATAACCAATCAAATAAATCAAATCAAACGAATCCATAGGTGTAGTTAGGTCATTTTGCTGGGGGGTATGGAATACCCCCCAGCTTAGTGGGGGGTCCGGGGGGCCTCCCCCGGAAAATTGTTGAAATTTTAACTCTATTTGAGCGCATCTCAAAGCACTTGTGGCGCTAATCTTCCTTCAATTTCTGCCCAAAAATCACCCAGTTTTATGCATTTTAAGGTTAAAATACTTTGAAATTGTTGCATTCAACAGGTTTTTCTATTTATACGCATCCTCTCACGGGCCGCGGCGACAGAGACTTACCGTTGAAGAAGGTGTTTTTACACCATCCAGAATTTCTGGGGGGGGGGGCAGAAGATACTATTTNGGGGGGGGGGTCCAGGCTCCCCCTGCCCCCCCTTCCTACGCCTCTGAACGAATCTTAGGAAAAGGTTCTGAGTCAGCTAGAAGCTTCGGAAATCAATATGCGGTGATGTCATTCACATGCATGTTACCAGAGACCCTTTGCCCCACAAATTATTTTTAGCAAGATAATTATTTCTAGAATTATTTGACGCGTAAATATGAATGCACTTAAGAGTCAAGGTAAGTGAAACGAGGGTACACTGAAAAAAAAAAAGTTACGGGCTATATGGACGCAACATGCGTTCCGGGCTCAGAGGTCGAAATTTCCGGATACTGGAGTTGTCGTTTCGACTGCTACGGGTGCTACGCCCAGAATTTTCGGTTTCTGAACCCGAGACGCGAACGGTATGTCTATACTGCCGTGCTAAGGAAGAACGCCGTATGAGCCTTCAGACGTTGCCAAGTTTCCTCCGACAAAAACCGAATTTATCGGGAAAATTGCAAATATTATATTCTAAAATTTTCAGACAATTTTGAGCGTAATTAAATCGAAAGTATCTGAAAATTTCAAGGAAAAATATGCATGAATGTTGTCAAAAATACATGATATAACAAGGGAAATTTGGCAACTCTCGAAAGTTCATACGGCGTTCTTCCTTAGCACGATAGTATATAGCCCGTAGGTACGACTTCTAAGGCCGGAGTTTTTTCCCCAGTATGTTCTCTCCGCTACAGATCATCCAAAATCGACAAAACGCTCCGTTTGGTTCGTTTCAGCCTCGGTGAGAAATTGGAAAGAGGATGCCGATTTTGCAACACCCGACTCTCATTGGTAGGGCATCCTCCAAGTATTACAAATTTAGCACAAAGTCTCAAAGCTTCACGGTCCTAAATTAGCGGTAGAGGGGGGTGGGAGAGGGGGGCGGCAGGACGAAAAACAAAGCAACGATGTCTTCATCCTGGGTGCCAGGCGGGACTTTCAAGTCCGACGGAATCATGTCATCGGTGATGGGGGCTAACACGACGGATGAAGTAATAGGGGTGGAAGGGGGTGTGAGGGTGTTCGACGAGGCTGGAGCGAGAAGGACAGCGCCGAGTACCGTTAGCCGAGGATTCTTTGTCCGACGGATCGGGAACCGGGCGACGGGGACGGAGGAAAAAAGTCAGGATTGTGGGAACGAAACGAGCAGTTCTGCGTAGAAACGTTACTGCGAGGTGGTGGGCCGGGTACCTGAAACCCGGAGTCGGCAGGAATGTAGCAGAGGCGGAAGCGAGGCCTACGCTTTGATTTACAACCCTTAAAAGGCGCGGCGGACGGAGAAAGAGATAGGGGTTGCCCGGGGGAGCGAGAGAGAGAGGGAGGGAGGCTTAGCGAGCACCCCAGTCGCGGCCTTGGGGAGAAATGCCGGTTTTTCGATCCCGATGGACAGGACACCAGAACAACCCTCGCCATCTCCTTTCCCTCTTCCTTACGCTGATCCACCTTTGCGATGAATCGATTGATCTGCCATTCGAATCCATGAAAAAGGATCGATTAACAGTGATATTTTAATAATCGATTCTTTTCCATAGTTTAAAATGGGAAAATATCGATTGTCGATAATAATCGCTTCGCCACTGATCCTCATCCCCCTGGTCTCTGTGACCTGATACGAAAGAAACGGATCAGGCTAATACTGGTTCATTGGGCAAAAACCACGGTTTTACGGAAGATTTATAGTGAGGTTATGAGGTTCTTGGTGTGAGGGAAAAATACTGAATTACCACGCTGGATTGTAAAAGGNGGGGGGGGGGGGGGGCAACACTGACTGCCGATCGGGTAGTGAACTCGGTGTCTTCGACCTTTACCTTTACCCAAGTCGTCGTTTCCCAAACAAAAGAACGTAACTATATTTAAACGTTGTAAAATTTCCACGTTTCAGTATTTTTTTAACGAGAGAGGCTCCGGGAATTTCTAACGCAAAATATATATAATATCAGCTCCTGAAACCGCGTTTGTTTTGAGGCTGAAGTTGAAATACCAGAAACTGATCGAGGTAATATATGAAAAATTGCCCTTGCCGTAACAAATACTGATTAATAATGTTTACGATCATTACAACTGTTGAACAAGAGCCGACAAAGCATTTTAAGCCACAACGACACAAATAAGACAAAACTATGGTGAAACTCCAAAACCACGTATCTCGTTTGCAGTGTATAAAAATCTCCGCTCCTATTTTATTTTTTTAAAGGAGAACAAATAAACATGATTCCTTGAAATGTTTTCAGAATCTACTCCGCTCAGAGAAGAAAAACTCACAAGTTTTTTAACAGTGACGTTGAGTGGTTCGTTATTTAAGAAAGAAAGTATGACAGAAGGTCTGCAACGCCGCAAACCGAGATACGTGGTTTGGAAGTTTCATCATCGAAACGAAAGCAAACACACAACGGAAGCACGGATATAGGGTAAAGGAAAGAACGCGCGTGATGACGGCGCAGAGATACAACTATTCGTACTTGATGGATGTCCGTGTTGCATCTCCAAAATTGAAGGCGCGATGGCGCGAGGCGTGAGCTCCCAATGCTTCCATACTCAAGAAGAACGCCTTATGAAAGTTCGGATATTGCCTAATCTCTTTTGAAAGAAACATAAATTTTAGCGAAAAGTTGTGAATATCATTATTTCAGTTTTTCACGTATACTAGAATTTATAGCGGAGAGTAGTTTATTAAAAAGTCTATCGATAAGAAAAATAGTTACGAGTTCTCCAGGAAATTCGTGCAGTGACAGAGGAAATTTTACAACGTCCGATGGTTTATACGACGTTCTTCCTTAGCACGGCAGAGAAGGAAGACGAGATCAAACCTTTGGAAAGGCGAATGGTCCCTTTTCCGCGGAACACTTCCTCGCTATTAGTTCCTGCGAAGAGGCAGACGCTCAGCGTTGAATGGGCGGCGACATGCGCGGGTCAAAGGAACCAGAGAAAAAAAATCAAGCGTAACCTAGAGAACGCCGAAAAAGAGAGGAGACTATAATACCGGGGAAAACCGCAACGAAAACAAGCATTACGAGTTTTACTGACACCGACTGGGTTTTTTGTCAGTTCCTTTTTTTAGCAAGGTCGTTGATCGGTTTCGGTTTGGGGATAGGGGCGCGGCGCGGCCGGCGTGTCAATGATGAGGGAATCGGAGGGTTTGACGCTTGTTGTATCGGTCAATCTATACTAGGAACCTCACGACCCGACCGTGAGTAAAGAATTATTTTCGCTAATTTCCAGACAGAGATCGGGGCGCTGGCGGACAGGGTTTTTACGAGCAGAGCCACGAAATGAATCCTAGTCAGTTCCGCATGTCTCCGGATAGAGTTCCGACGGTCGCATCCAAAATTACATCTATGTCCTATCATTATTTTTAGCACTAGAACGCCCCAATTCTTCATTTTATTGTCGCAGTTATACACTACATTGAAAAAAGAAGTCTCCTAAATCCAGGGTCCAAAGCTTAAAAAATGCGACGAGAAAAACATACTTCTGATTCAATTGAATTTTTGCTTGAATCAAAGAGAAATCCGCTGATATCAAGATGCTGAGCTAAAATCCGCGTGAATCAAGAGTATGTTTTTCTTATCGAATTTTTTAAGACTCTGGACTCAGAGTCCAAGAGACATTTTTTCCCGGTGTAAGGATGTTACCGGTTGATGCCCATTTCAATGATTTTTTTGCTGACGGCAGATTTTCTTCGCAAATGGGACCCTTCATACAAGCCCGATGTTTATAAAATTAGGGCCGATTCTCTATAATGGCTTAGAACAAAACATTTTTAAAAAAATACAGTAATTCGCAATCTAGATATAATTAGAAGGGACACAATCTATGCAGAAAAATTTGGTGGTGATATCTACCGTCAAATAGGGGATGCAGAACATCAAATAATTGGAATTATGTGCGATAAAGACGACAAGGCCGTCGAATATTTCCCTTGCGGTATTTCGGAACGAAAGAATTGTAATTCCGACGATTTAGCATTAAGCTATCGTACAGATTTCCGCAAAATGACTTGCATACAGCGCGGAACGCAAGTTCGGGGTCGGACCACTTGGGAGCCAAGCGCCCATTCCCTCTAAACGACATCTTTGGGATGATATAGCCAATGACGTCATTCACCGCGTGTTCTATTCGGAACGGTCGTAATCCCGGAGAACACGTAACAAAAGCTCAAAGGAAGAGCTGTAGGCTTGGTCTCGGATGGTGCTGGTCGAGCCCCTAGGAAACTAGCCGACCAAGCGAGAGCAGGTGTCTCGTAATGCCGACGCGACGAACGACGGAAAATGGCGTGGCATTAGTTATTTTATGGCGTGGACTAGAGGCTGCGCTAGACTCGTCTCGACGGACGGTGGGTTCCGTTGACGTGCCGTCGTGGAAAGGAGCGATTTTTTCACGGTCGCGGGGTTAAAATGGAAACTGGAGTTGACTTGGCAACTCTGGCTGAGAGTGAGCGTGAAAGAGGCGTTCGGCGCGGATGAACGCGAGCCGGCGAGCGAACGACGCCGCGACGTCGACGTAGGCCCGCTGGACTCGTGCGAGCAGCGGCGTCGGTGTTTTCCTCCACGCTCTTATCCCTCCCTCGGGATC